TGCCCTCAAGGCTTGGCAACATACCCGCCCTACCGCCCGCAAGTCTGAATTGTTGTCCCTGATAGGTCACCTCAGCTTTGCCTGCAAGGCGGTCCCTGCGGGCCGCATGTTTCTGCGCCGCCTCATTGATCTCAGCACGACGGTCCCGCATCCAAATGATTACATCAGAATCACAGAAGACGCCAAAGCAGACATCCAGTGGTGGCTTGACTTCCTCCCTGCCTGGAATGGCGTCGCCTTCTTCCTAGAACCCACGTGGTCAGCCGCCGCCGATATGGACCTCTACACGGACGCATCTAGAGCCATCGGCTATGGTGCTTTCTTCGCCGGCCGGTGGCTCCAACACCGGTGGCAGAGGCACCAATCCCAGAGATCCATCGCGTGGATGGAGCTCTTTGCCATCGTGGCCGCAGCATCCACATGGGCACCGCAGCTGCATCTGAAGCGCATCCGCTTCCACTGCGACAACCGTAGCGTATGCGACATCTGGCTCCGCTCACGCACAAAGTGCCCCGACTTAATGGCGCTGGTACGCACTTTGTTTGCCATTGCTGCCCGACACAACTTTCACGTCATAGTCTCCCACATCCCCGGCACTGACAATGCGATTGCTGACTCTCTGTCTCGGTTTCAGATGGCCCGATTTCGCCGACTGGCACCCACAGCAGAAGACACGCCATCTCCGGTGCCCGAGCGCACCTACTCCCTCTGATGTTGGAGGGTCAGGCCTACCAGTGGCTAGGCCTGTCAGCGTCCACACGTGCCACATACGCGACAGCCTGGAAACGACTGCACCAATTCTGCCAACTAGTCGGCACCAAGGTGATTACAGACACCATCATGCTGGCGTTTGTAGCCTACCTGGCGCGTCAACATGCCGCGTCAACCGTCCGCCTGTATGTGTCGGCGATCCGGGCAATTGCCAAAGAAAACGGCAAAGATCTCTCGTCGCGAAGAGTGGACCTCGCAGTTCAAGGAGTGGCACGTGCACAGGCCAACCGAACTAAAAACGCCAGTAAGCCAATCCTCCTGCCCCACATGGCAGCTATGCGCAGGGCCCTGATACGGTCTAACCTCAACGCGACCGACCGAGCCATGGTATGGGCAGCTATTTGCCTGGGCTTCTTTGCGTGTCTCCGGGCAAGTGAGTACACTTCCACAACCGCCACGACCATGTCAGACGGTGGCCTCCGAACAGAAGACCTCTCCATCACGCCGCAGGCAATACAGGTCACAATCAAGAAGTCCAAGACCGACCAACTCGGCAAGGGTCACTCCGTCCGGCTCACAACCACCAACTCAACGGTTTGCCCGGTCAAAGCCATGCATACCTATCTATCAAGACGCCCCAACCTGCCCAATAGACCACTGTTCGTTGACAGCTGTGGCAAGTTCCTAACTGCACAAAGACTCACCCGTCTAATCCGTCAGCTCCTGAGCAGCGCAGGGTACCCACCTATCCAGTATTCACTGCACGGCCTCAGAGCCGGAGCCGCAACCACAGGAGCAATGAGCGGCTTCACCGAATCCGAGATCATGAAACTCGGCAGATGGCGAAGTGCCTGCTACAAGAACTATGTACGCTGTGGAAAGTAACTGTTCGCCGTCCGCAGGCGCGCAAGCGCGCACAGCCACACCCACATACACGCACCCGCAGACACATACACACGCACGCACACACACACACGCATGCACACACACATGCATGCACGCGTACACGCACCCACAGTCTGACACCGCACAAGCATGCATGCAGGTACACACGCTGCGCACACGCTGGTACGCCCATTCGCGGACGTAGGCACTCACGTTCTAGCACTGACTGTGCACGCACGCCTCTGATACTTATGATAAGTTATCTGCACCACTCTGTTGCTGTGCTATAGCTCCCACCTAGCGGTGTGGGACACCCCATGCTATGGCGGTGTGGGACACCCCAGACCATGGCGGTGTGGGACACCCCATGCCATGGCGGTGTGGGACACCCCATGCCATGGCGGTGTGGGACACCCCATGTGTGCACGCACGCTCCGACTACATGCGATTCAAACCCTTCTCGGTGTCACTAAGGGAAAACAAACATGCGAAGGGCACGCATTTGAACTACGTACATGTAGCTGAAGCGCTTGAATACCACACTAAGGTCATTCGGCTGACCAACGCGGAATTTGGGGGCATTCGGCGGCTTGGTCTGATTCCTAGCTTGTTGGTAACCGGCTTGAGGTTTCCAAGGTTGCTATGACAACGTGCAGTCATGCGCAGGGCCACCCAACATGCGTTGGGGGCCCAGGAAAGACAGAAACGCGTTGCTAGGCAACAGCAAAAGCGCTCAGCGAGTATCACGCTACTCATGCAGCGCGCACGCTGGCTTAGGGTATCACGCTACCCTTGCGCTGCGGGGTACCACATTGCCCCTCGCTGGAATCAGACCCGCGCCCCGGATACCTTGCGCTGGCCTCCTGACGGCCAAACTCAACCAACTTGCGCGCTGTGACTGGGGTTGTGCATGCCTTAGCAACATAATGTGGCCCAGGTCGGCAGACTTTCAATTAGCCAAGCGAGCTACTCAGGCCAGGGCGCATGATCACTATTCGCAGCACTTATCGTCCATGCAGCAGTCGGGTTAAAATCGGTTGTGGCGACAAACGCGATTAGGCCGGCTGCAGGGACGCCGTAATGTCGCACTCGCCCCAGCACCATTCAAACAGTTCCCTTTGGCAGTTCACGGCACGAACTTCAACAAAGCCCCGTGAATGCGTACTAGGGGAAGGCTAGACAGCATGTCTCTAGACATCAATAGGCATCGTATGAAAAGCCAGTCAATAGCACTAAAGAGCGAAAGCCTTTGTCACGGTTCGGTTTCACTCGCGCACCGGGCCCGAGCTGCCAGCGCAAACAAATGCCGGGCGCGAGCTGGCAGCACGAACAAACACCGTACTCACACGAGACCGCTGGGCCAACGGATGGCCACAGCCATCAAAAACAGGAACAAACCCATCCACGGCTCTTTCTCTTGCTAGCTGTGCTGCTGCGTGCATCCAACTGTTTTGCAATTTCTCCCTCCCACCCACGCCTCTTGATCTGTCCTAGCTCACTATTCTGGACAAATATTAATTCAATTGCAATGAAGCGCCGGGGGCCGGCGGGGGCATTCGGCGGCTTGGTCTGATTCCTAGCTTGTTGGTAACCGGCTTGAGGTTTCCAAGGTTGCTATGACAACGTGCAGTCATGCGCAGGGCCACCCAACATGCGTTGGGGGCCCAGGAAAGACAGAAACGCGTTGCTAGGCAACAGCAAAAGCGCTCAGCGAGTATCACGCTACTCATGCAGCGCGCACGCTGGCTTAGGGTATCACGCTACCCTTGCGCTGCGGGGTACCACATTGCCCCTCGCTGGAATCAGACCCGCGCCCCGGATACCTTGCGCTGGCCTCCTGACGGCCAAACTCAACCAACTTGCGCGCTGTGACTGGGGTTGTGCATGCCTTAGCAACATAATGTGGCCCAGGTCGGCAGACTTTCAATTAGCCAAGCGAGCTACTCAGGCCAGGGCGCATGATCACTATTCGCAGCACTTATCGTCCATGCAGCAGTCGGGTTAACCTTTGTAATTTTTGTTGTATTTCCAAAACAAAAAAAGGTTCTGTGCTCAGGATACATGAAAGAATCGTTTGAAATCAAGTTTGCTCACATAGAGTGAATTAAAAAAAATTACTGCATGGCAGAGGTTTTCAATGGGCCCGGGCTCAAACGGTGAAATGCACTTGAATCGATTCATGAATCGATTCAAGTGCATAATCAAACGCAGCCAAGGTATGGCATCATTTCTCTATTTGTCGTCACTGTCTCTATATGTCATCACCTGTTTACTTCGTGCCTATATGGCTTCACTGCAACTTTCTCTATATAACTCCAGGTATTTCCCTATATAACTCCAGACGCGACTTTCTCTATATATCTCCACTCAGGTTGAGACTTTCACTGTATGACTCCAACTCAGGTTTTGTATGGAGAAGTTGGCAATCTGAGTTGGAGTCGTAGAGAGAAAGTCTCAACCTGAGTGGAGATATAGGGAAAGTCGCATCTGGAGTTATAATAAGAGAATGACCTGGAGTTATATAGAGAAAGTTGGAGTGAAGCCATAATTATAGGCACGAAGTAAACAGGTGATGATGACATAATAGAGGAGTGAGAGCTGGTGGACAACTGAGTGCTACATATATAGCACAGAGCCCCACACATACCATATAGTGTGTAGGGCTCCCTGGTATGTACGTCATACAGTCGTCCCTCTCTAATCCGGCACTTGTTTATCCGGAACCCTTGCCAACCGGCGCACTTTCTGACGAAACCAATTTTTTTCGTTCAATTCCTACATCTTAATCCGGCACTTGAATTCCGCCTCCGGCAGTGACTTTTTGAAACGAATCGCTCAAACTGCACGTAGTTTGATTTCATAATCCGGCAGTCGTAAATCGCGTACCGCACAGGTGCACTCCACGCTAGGCCAGTCTGGTCAATGTTGTCCAGGAGACAACGGTCTGTCAACCATACTTTCTTATTTTAGCAAGGAGTAGTGTCCTGCCAATTTTCAGGTGTGTGTGTGTGTGTGCAAGAGTGAATGTGAACATGTTCTCTGTTTTACTTTATCACTTTATCACTGTGTATATTCTCGGAGAACAATTGAGAATATAAAGCCGTGCACCAAATACTTGGGTCGACACGGAAAAACCCTGCGTTTTGACGTACATATGATACATTTGGGTAGGGCCGGGTCAGAGGGCAGGATTTCTTAATCCAGCACCCTCGTTAATCCAGCAGAAAACGCCGTAGCAAAAGGTGCCGGATTAGAGAGGGACGACTGTATTAGCGTTCTACTGTACATTGACCCTAGGCCCGCTGTGAAGTCAAGCTGCTGAGCAGTAAAGCCTGAATAGCTAGCCCCCTTCTTAAAATAACATGCCACCAGGCACCACCTTGGAACAGTGCCATGAAACTTACCCGCACAAGTAGCGGTACATCAAGACGGTTGAGCATCTCTCCAAACGCACTGATATACAAATCAAAATACTCTCCCGGTGCAGGATTCAACGTGATGTTACTGATGCTGTGCTGTGCTGACTTCTTGAACCTGCCAGCTTCATCCCAACGACAGTGGCTATTGTTACTTTGTTGTGGAGAAGTGGACCAGGACAGGATGGCTGACGCCCAGGGAACAATTACAAACTTGTAGCCCGGAAGAACAGGGAGCAGAGGAATGCCGTTCGATAGTTGGTATTTTTCAGCCAGCTCAAGTAGAATACAATCTGTTGCCACCGGTAGTGGAGTGCTGCCACGAAAACCCAACAAGGAGAACAGGGAACGACACAACAATACTGATGGCCAAGAAGAGTTTCATGCTGCCCTAGGCCCTGGCCACTAAGCACAAAGCACTGCCCTCTACCCCCCCCCCCCCTCCCCGGCACATAACAACAGTTTGCTGCACACACAGCTGCTCCCTCAGTGCTGCTCCCTCAGTGCTGCTCCCTCAGTGCTGCTCCCTCAGTGCTGCTCCCTCAGTGCTGCGATAATTAGCGACATCAGGGTCTCTATTCTACTTCACACAGTACGCCGAGTAATCTCACCTTGAGTTCAATACACGCTCGTAGATTTCTGAGAAATGACATTTCGTGTGGAAGTACCAGATGTCATCACCAATCTGTTTGTAACAGGACGTCGTGGCCTGTCTGAAGACAAGCCAGGTTGGCATGGTATCAATAGAGTCACGCATGCTCATGTGATGTTCATCAATGCGCTCATTTCGAACAAGAAGCCCCTGATTGTAGCTGTAACATAACTGGTCTGGTTGATACAAGAAGGCATTGGAAACATTGCATTTTTCTTGGAAGTCAGAGCAAAGTCCCCTTGGAGCATAATTAGAGTTAACTCTCCGCTCGGGAACCGGTTCATTCATTGCACTGGGGCCGTGGCGTGTTCTGCACGGAAGGCGGCGTTGAAAGTCCCTCAACTCTGCCTGGCACCGTGACAGAGCGGAACCATCATTGTCATGCCATTGCGGGCCATCTGTGTGCACAATCCACAGCACAATCCACAGAACAACAGTCATGCCATTGCGGGCCATCTGTGTGCACAATCCACACACACACACAGAACAACAGGCTCTGACATTGTGTACGGTCATGCGGCCCATAATTCTTGGCACAATCACCAGTCAGTGTCAGTAGACACAACTATTGGCACAATCACCAGTCAGTAGACACAACTATTGGCACAATCACCAGTCAGTAGACACAACTATTGGCACAATCACCAGTCAGTAGACACAACTATTGGCACAATCACCAGTCAGTAGACACAACTATTGGCACAATCACCAGTCAGTAGACACAACTATTGGCACAATCACCAGTCAGTAGACACAACTATTGGCACAATCACCAGTCAGTAGACACAACTATTGGCACAATCACCAGTCAGTAGACACAACTATTGGCACAATCACCAGTCAGTAGACACAACTATTGGCACAATCACCAGTCAGTAGACACAACTATTGGCACAATCACCAGTCAGTAGACACAACTATTGGCACAATCACCAGTCAGTCAGTAGACACAACTCACACTGGACTGCGAAAGCCTTGCGGTGTAGAAGCGATGGTTTCAAATAGGAACGGTTTGACAGCAAGATTAGCATGGATCGTTCACTCAAAATATGTTTGTGGAAGGGAACTGGCACGTTGAAGTTTGCTCTGAGGTCAGAGTCGATTGAACTGAGCCACTCCTTTGTGTTGGCCCGTTGCCGCCAAGTTCCCCGATTTTTCGTTCCACACAGAGGTGAGTCCAAACCGGAAAGGTTTTGGAGCGCACGTCTGTTATGTTCGCCTCTAGCTCTGCGTGTCCGACTCACACTCACAGCCGACACAAGGGACAAACAAACTAACTTCTTCAAGAAACTCAAACAAATCTATGAGCTCACGGGCAGGGTTGCCCTGACCCGTGGCAAAGCGGTTTCCATGACGTCACGTCACCATACACATCAATGTCAAGTTCACTCTGAGTTCTGAAATTAGGTAATTGCTATCGCTCCACGACGGCCAGTACAGAGCAACATTAGGCCTTGTGTGTGCTTCCATTAGTTTTCATTGGTATACAGTGCTTTATTGGCGAGAGGCAAGCCGCTGTTTACCTGCGACAAGTTGATTTTTCGAAAGACGTAAAACTCAAGTCGCAGTGCGAAGCAACACGTCAAAAACTCACCTGCTTGGTATGGCGCTTCTGGTCATCGCAGAGCCATGAAAATTTGGCTCGGAGTAAAACACATCGTAGCCTCACTGTGACATATGTTTTCTAATCAAAATACCAAGAGAGAAAGTGAATATTGAGCCCTTTCCGGTTTGCAACCTATTTCCTATTTGAAACCGTCTCCTCTACATCATACGATGTCATAATGCGACAGAATAGCCATCATCAGAACTCAGCGTTTATTGAGCCGTGTTCTTGCAGTAACTCACCATGTGTTATTGAAGCATCAGTAAGATTAAGAGGCAGCTAGAGAGAATATGCGTTCCATCAACCCTTGACCCATGCCTGTACCTGCACTGCGGGCTGCAGGTTTTGAACACATGATCGGATGGGAGTGTTCAATGCTCCTTCTCTCACACCCAGCTTACCAGTGATTGCTGTAGCGTTTGGCATGAGAACATCCGTAGCAGCCGCTGTTACCTGCCGCACTGGTCCAGTGTTGGGCTTCATTGTATAGTACCCCCTGGGATCAGCTGACTGGTCCACACTGACTAGAGTAGTGATGCTGTAATCACAGCTGACTCTCTTCGGAAGACTTGCATTAAGCAGAAGAGCGCAGCTTTCGTGACACGAGCCATCTGATGAGAACTGGTCAGCCACAGCGCAGTAGAGTGGATCCTTGCGTACATCACACTCTGTCATACACACATACGTGCACATATGTGCACACACACATGCACATATGTGCACACACACGTGCACACAAATACATACACGCAGACTAATACAACAATAGCAGCTAAAGAAATACGGCATCGGTCTTGAGTACAGTGCCCGGCACACTGCAGCATAGTACAGTACGAATCGGATATAGTGTGCCACAGTGGTCGTGTAAAAGAAAGAGGATATACTGCCTACAAGAATGAACCCTCATATTTTCATAACCATAACATGGGCGTGAAGTGTGTATCTATTCTTACTAACAATCTCACCAAGCACAGCATAGCGATGTATACACGGTGCCTCAACTGTGCATAGACTGTAGTGACATGAACATACGAACGGTCTACATGTAGGCTACAAGACTGCCCACCCCCCCCCCTCCCCAATTCTTCGGCGACCGACAATACTGCACCGGCAAGAACAACCGACTAACCAGCATGTAGCTCCCAGTGAGACGGACCATATGGCATACAGTAGCGAGGATCTTGGACACGGAAAAAGATGGTGGATAGGGCCCAGAACTCTTTCATGCATGGATAAAGGCTGGCCATGAACAAGACCGTTGTCAGCTGCTGTCCCAAGCTTCCCCTGCCATTTTTCTCCAAGAAATCCTGCATGTCGTCATAGAACAACACAGGTACCAAAAGCATGATCACAGGTTCAAAATTTCTGCAGTTTATGAATGGGTTCCGTGTGTTTCTAAGCATAGAAGGTCCGTTGCACTTCAAAAAAAGTATAGTGTTGTGTCTCTAACCAAGAGACTGTGGGTTCACACGTAGAGTTTACATACAAGTTTATTCTACGGTTGCAAAGCAATAAGAAGCGTTGAGGTATGATTGTGCTAGAGGATATAGAAGTTGTATCCCGGGTGCGGGATGCGTTGGGTGTTGGGTGGCAGTACAATGAATTGCTATAGAGAGTTCATGCCTAAGCGGTTGTGGTTTTAGGGTGGATCAATAGTACTTGCAATTAGATGAATACATGTCTGGTACATACACTACATTCCTCCCCTAAATGTTATGGTACATGTTGAGCTACGAGGTATTCCTATACGGCATAACATTTAATGCACAAGAAGAAGAAGCGGATGAGCTGAGAGCACGGGACAGCAATTGTGTGAGCAAGAAGCAATTCAGTCTCTCAGGCGAGCCGGCAGGACTCGGGCTCTCGGCGGGTTACGGCGGGGTTCAGTCGTATCTTGTGCCAGCGGCGACTGGACCTGCTGCGTTGCCGTAGTTGCTGCTACTGGTGTTTGCGCAGGCGGAGGTGTTGGAGTAGCAGCGGCTTGGACACTGGGTGGTGTCGGAACACTAGCTGGCGAATGAGCAGTCGGAAAGCACAAACTGTGATCCGGTTCTGCCACGGACGGCAAAGGCGCTGTGTTCATCGGTACGGATGATTGCGGAGCGGAGTCGGCTGACCGGAGCTGTTCAACATGGCGCCTCCATTGCTGGTCTGGGCCAACTTCCACTGTATAGTGGCGGGAGCCGTGTACCGCTTGCACTGTGCCCTGAATCCACGGGTGTGGTGCGTTGGTGCGGTAGTCACGTACCATGACGGTGTCATCCACAGCAAACGTGCGCTCACGGTTCGCTGATCTTGCACTACGCTGAGCTGTCTGTTTCTTGGCAACAGATGCCTGGACACTGGGTTGAACCAGCGACAGCCGAGTGCGTAGCTCCCGGTGCATTAGCAGGGATGCTGGTGTGGCATTCGTTGTAGCATGGGGTGGGGTGCGATAGGCCAACAGGAAGCGAGGCAAGAACTCAAGCGGTGCTGTGGCAGAATGGGACCTGAGCGCCTGCTTCATTGTACGCACAAATCGTTCAGCCAACCCGTTAGTCGCTGGGTGGTACGGTGCTGAGAACGTGTGCGCTATGCCGTTGGCTTCTGTGAAACGGCGGAACTCATCGGCAGTAAACTGCGGGCCGTTGTCACTCACGATCTGGTCCGGCAGGCCATGTTGAGCAAACACTTCTCGGAGACGGCGTATGGTAGCCGGGGCAGTGGTGCTGCTCATTGGTAGCACTTCTGGCCACTTAGGGAGCATCTCATAAGTTCGCATTTTGTTTCTAAACGTAACGCATTTCGAAACGGGGGTAGGGGGGTAGCACCCTTTTCGAATAGAAAAGTGACTGTTCGCACATTTTCTGGAACTGTACAATCTACTACCGTGCTAGATCCCTGCAGCAAATGAGTGTGTTTAGGTGGAGATCTACCTGTGTTTGCAGATCAGCTAACCCTTGCACTGCATGCATGCAGGCTACTCAGAGGTGTCAAATGTCACACCAGCCTGATCAAACTGTGTACATGATTGTACATGTACCTGGCCAGCAGCGTTTACAGCTACAGCAGTACAGTTGTTGCGCAGGAACTATGTTTATGTGCGTGTACATGTCATTGATTGTACTTGTACTCAGTAAACATGGTAAATGCGGTACTACTGTATGCCATTCACGACCGCTCTAGCAAAACATTAATATCCATGTACATGTACATAAGCATACCATAGCATGGGGCATGGACGTGTACAGTAGATAAACAAAGAAAATGTGCGATAAGACTTTCGAATAGAGGGGGAGGTAGGGGGGGGGGGGTAAAGTCTATTCGAAATGTGTTACGTTTGCAAAATAAATGCGAACTTATGAGATGCTCCCTTACTGTGGGCGTCCACCACAATCAGCCACATGTGCCCTTGGAACGGCCCGGCAAAATCAATGTGGAGGCGCTGCCATGGCTTGGACGGCCACTCCCAGGGATGTAGCGTTGACTTCGGTGGCGCCGCCTGGTGTGCCTGACAGCCAAGGCAGGCCTTGCCGGTCTGCTCGATGTCTGTGTCGATGCCTGGCCACCATACAAAGCTGCAGGCTAGTGCTTTCATCCGAACCAGCCCAGGATGGCCACTGTGCAGCTCCTCCAGTACTCGGTGGCGCAGTGGGGGAGGAATGACGACACGGATTCCCCACATGACACACCCTTGGTGTAGGCCCAGCTCATCTTTGCGTCGTACAAACGGTTGCATGTCACCGTCGGTTGTTGACAGGGCCCGTCCGGTGCTGACACTGGTTAGGACCTTGGCGAGAACTGGGTCACGGTTTGTGTGACGCGCAATTTCAGCTGCCGTGACTGGAAGCGGGTCGATCTGGGCCATGTTGAACACGTCTGCCCAGTCTAGGCTCTCATCCTGTGGTGAGTGTGGCAACGGTAGTCGTGACAGGCCGTCAGCGTTTGCATGCTCGGCTGATTTGCGGTACTTGATCTCATAACTCATGCTTGCTAGGAAGATAGCATACCGCTGTAGGCGGGCCGTCGTCATGGCTGGCAATCCCTTGCTAGGACTGAAGATGGCTGTCAGCGGCTCATGGTCCGTCAGCAGGACGAACGGTCGGCCAAACAGGTACGTGTGGAATTTGCGGACGCCCCAGACAATAGAGAGCGCCTCCTTATCGATCTGGGCGTACCGCTTCTCGGTGTCCGTCAGGAACCGTGACACGAAGGCACTCGGCCTTTCCGTACCATCCGGCATGATGTGCGAGAGCACCGCCCCCAGGCCATATGGCGATGCGTCGGTTGCCAACTGCACGGGCAGGTCGGCATCAAAGTGCATGAGGACCTGATCCGAGGCGATGGCTGCCTTGATAGCCTTGAATGCAGCCGCGCATTCAGCTGTCCAGTGCCAAGACTGACCTTTCCGGAGCAGGTTGTTGAGTGGATGCAGGGTCGTGGAGCAGTCTTTGAGGAAGCGCTGGTAGTAGCACACCATGCCCAGAAAGCTCCGTAGCTGGGACACGTTCTGCGGTGCGGTGCGGTGCGGTGCTGGGGCTTCGTTGATAGCCTTGACCTTGCCATCAGTCTTGCGACTTGGTCTGCAAAGAACGTGCACTTGGCCGGGTTGACTCTCAGGCCGTGGTCCGACAGACGACTCAGGATGCTTTCCGCATTGTCCAGGTGGTCATCGTCGTTGCGGCCGGTGACAATAATGTCGTCCAGTAGGCAGGCCTGGCTTGGGACGCCATGCAAGATGCGGTCGATAGCCTGTTGCCAGAGCGCTGGGGCAGAGGCAACACCGAACCCAAGTCGGTTGAGCTGATACAGGCCCTTGTGCGTCGTGAGTGTGAGGAGTGGTTTGGATGCGTCATCCATCTCCATTTGGAGGTATGCCTGCTTTAGGTCGATTTTGGTGAATCGCTGGCCTCCAGCCAGGGTGGAGAAGACATCTTCCACGCGTGGTAGTGGGTGCTGGTCCACCTTCAGGTGTGGATTCAATGTGGCTTTGAAATCTCCACAGAGACGAACTGAGCCGTTGGGCTTCATCACAGGCACAATAGGTGTCGCCCACTCACTCCACTGTACCTTACTCATGATACCCAGACCTTCCAGCCTGTCCAGTTCAGCTTCCACCTTTGGCCGCATGGCGTAGGGCAATGGGCGCGACAGCGACTTTTGATAAATCGCACTCGGAATGATTGACACCGCAGCTCCAGTGTCGACCTGCATGTGGACCGACTGGCCATTGACGATAGCATCAATCCAAAGTGCCTTCCGCACGGTCGTGGGTGTCGTTTCATCCGTGGCGACTGCTGGTGCTTGAAGGACGTCTGCGGCTAGAAGAGAAAGTGAATTGAACTCGTCGTCGTCCGCGACATCGACAGCCAAGCTGTGGCAGGCGCTGCTACCACTTGAGCGTTTCGCTGAATCTGTCGATCTTTCCGCGAGGCGCTTCTTGCAAACCTTGCGGAGGTGCCCAGTCTTCCTGCAGGAGCGGCATTCATATGCCTTGAAGGGACATTCACTTGCGCCGTGTGCCGTCGAGCCACAGCGGAAGCATGCTGAATAGCTCGTACGGGATTGACCTGAGTTCGCGGACTTCGCACCTCCGAACGATGGTCTGCCAGCACGACGATGTTGCGATGTGCCCAGAACGTGTACACCAGCAGCAGTGGCACTGCCCGCGAGCTCGGATGCATCGCGAGTGGCTACCTCCAGGCTGTTGGCTTTCTCGATGGCGGTCTTCAGAGTGAGGTCCTTCTCTGCCAACAGAACTTTGCAGAGAGCTTGACTCCTGATACCACACACGAAACGATCCCGCAGCGTGGTATCCAGGACATCGCCAAACTCACAGAATCGTGCCAACCGTCGGAGCTCCGTGAGGTAGGCATTTACTGACTCTCCTTGGCATTGATCCCGCTTGTGGAAACGGTATCGTTCCGCGATCACCAAGGGCTTCGGAGCACAATGCGCAGCCAGCGCGTCGGACAGCTCCTTCAGCGTCTTGTTCTTCGGTTTGTCCGGGCTGACCAGGTCAGCCAACAGTTTGTAGGTCAAGCCACCAATCAGGGTCAGGAAGGTGGCTACTTGCCTGTCTTCAGCCACATTGTTGGCAGCGAAGTACTGCTCGACGCGGTCATAGTACGTAGACCAATCCGTCGTTCCAACCGAAAATGGTTCCATGGCTCCAATTGCAACGGCCATCTTCGTCGCCAGTTGTTGTGTCTCTAACCAAGAGACTGTGGGTTCACACGTAGAGTTTACATACAAGTTTATTCTACGGTTGCAAAGCAATAAGAAGCGTTGAGGTATGATTGTGCTAGAGGATATAGAAGTTGTATCCCGGGTGCGGGATGCGTTGGGTGTTGGGTGGCAGTACAATGAATTGCTATAGAGAGTTCATGCCAAAGCGGTTGTGGTTTTAGGGTGGATCAATAGTACTTGCAATTAGATGAATACATGTCTGGTACATACACTACATAATACAGGTACTTTATATCACACATAATTCTCAAACACACAACTACTCCACCATTCTGTTTTCGTTGTAAGCTGTGTGCATACTCACACAGTCGTTGTCTTCTTCTCCTTCTTGTCAATAGACAACCGGTTACAAAGCCTCCAATAACGCACAGGCTGCATTTTTTATTTTTTATTTTAATTTTATTTCACCGTCCAATGGCAGAAGCCAATGCAAAGCAGGGGGCGTTAGCCAACCATGGCAAGAGAAGAAAAAAGAAAGAAAGAAGGAAAGAAGATGATAATCGGAAGAAAAGAATTCATCAGTGGGGTGAAATTTATCACTATGTGGACCATGGTGGAGAGCGGCGAGATAAGCTAGCAAAAGAGGCGAGCGAGCCTACAACGTGGCATGACATTTAACATGGTCTATGAACTGTCTAATATTGGATATTGTCTTCATTTCCATGGGCAGCTTGAGCCAATACGAGTATGCAGAGAAGATAGGAGATTTGGTGAACATAGTTGACAAAGCTCTGGGAAGTACTGTGCCATTGCGAGTGTCCCGTGCGAAAGCAAACCAATTATCGTGACTTGCTGAGATGTTCGGGGACAATGTTCAGTTTAATACGATGGACCAGAACGCATGACTGTCTCTGCGCCAGGATAGAGATGGGGCTGGTGGAGGCCAAACTATATAGATCAGTAGAGGGGAAAAGAAAGGGTTTACGAAAAATAATTTTCAACACACGCATAGTTGGTTATTATGAGAAACCCAATCTCAGGCCTGTCCCGGGCCACAAATTATCACACAGTCGTCCAAAACCGGCACAATGAAGAAACAAGAACACAACTTTGCACGCGCAGGGATGCCTCGAAACAGTGCGGGCAAAGCACTGCAATCTGCCATCAAACCCAAGATGTTTTGTATGTAGTCATGCAAGCTCCAAGGCATTACCATATGCGCCAGCAGTTCATATCTGACTAAGGGGCCGTCCGTAAATATCGATGTTTTTTTAGAGACGATATTGGTGCGTCTGGGGGGGGGGGGGGGGGAGGGGGTTTGAGCCATGTGCGTCTTTTCGATGTAAATATCTGAAGTTTCGCCGATCCCTGCACACGGACGTCTAAATGGCTATACAAGAAATGTGAAACCAGCTTCCGTTCGCGGAGCTAAAACTCGCGACACAAGAACAAAATCAAAAATTGGAAGCTGTTCGCCCATGGCGAATTTCAAGAGCAAAAGAATGAGCTATTGATTGTGGAAATCGGCCGAACGATGCCTGCAGGAGACCTTTTTCAAGACGTAGAGGCAGTGCGAACAAACACGGACGAACTCCACAAGAGTTTCCAGTCTTCACTGTCTGAACAAGGATTTGAAAAAATGAGCATCCAAAAATATTGATTCCATGATCTAGATGTACATGTGCGTCTTCTGGGGGGAGGGGGGGGGGTCAAGGAAGAGAAGCACCAATATCGTCTCTAAAAAAACATCGATATTTACGGACGGCCCCTAAGAAAGGGATCTATGTTTGAGGATCTATGTATGAACACACACACGCACGCACGCACGCACGCACGCACGCACGCACGCACGCACGCACGCACGCACGCACACACACACACACACACACACACACACACACAGGTCTCAACCAAGGCATTGGCTTTGCACCGTTCCGGCTTTGCTCAGTCTACATTTCCTCACATACTTCCTCTTTCTTAGTCAATCATGTGTCATGCCGAACACAAACATAACATTTTTATCATACGATTTCTCACCTCACAGCATGGTGACCGAGTTATCAAGTTATACTAACCTTCTGCTGAGTTTCGTTCCGGAGAAAGTTCTCTGGGAGAACAAGCGGGCATGTGGCATTGGCATTACGGGGTAGGATCGAAGTAGAGCAGGCAGCGATGCCCACATATGCCACCGCACCCTTCTTGACCGCTGAGTTATTTAGCACAAGGAAGTCACTGACCTGAAAGAAGAAACACCGGCCATGTTATTGTGCAGGCATGCAAAACTGCGCACACCATATTGCAGTCCTGCAGGAATTCTCCCTGGGACCCGCCATACATCACTGATATTGGTTTTAAAGGTCAAATTCTGCCAGAGTAGGTCATACGGTGAACTAGGAACCCTGGCAAACTGTGCATGAGCTCTGTCACCACACCCAGTCCTCCCAGGTCTGGTGATTTGCCGGGGGGGGAGGGGGGGGGGGATGAGATAAGAGACCGCTCCATGGTCCTCTATGGTGCAAATCCAGTGAACCCGTGCATACCCCATATCTGTCCTGTATTCGCACAGCATAGATTCTGAGTCGTTACTGAACACTTATACACTTATAGGTGTGAACAACGACGTAAATGGGGATAATGGATACGAGTATAACATAGGGGTGCACAACAATTTGACCCGCCGGTAGAATATTTCCAACATCAAGTTTACCAGAGTTCACAAACTGCAGCACACCTACTCCGGTGTCACTGCTTTGTTCTTTTTTAACTGTCTGATGTGCACCCGGCCTACTCTGGATTGGAAGGAAAAAGTTAGTTTTTTAGAAGGCAACCTCCACCCTAGTATCATGCTCAACGCAAGAGCAAATAATCAGGTTTATGCACCCTCCCTTTGACCTGCTGAAAGTTGACCTGATACATTCACAATATACCTTTCATAATATATCAGCATCCGCGATCAGGTACATACTTTTTTTTGTTGAAAAACCACAAACCTTCAGACATGTGAATGTGCACATGATATACAGTGTACATACGTATGTATCGAGAAGGCAGCACGGAAACGGCAGTGGTGGTGAGGCCTGGGCAGCTCGTCCGACCGTGGGTCTCGGAGTCAACACTGGGCAGACGCACCGGGGGGGGGGGGGGGGGGTAGCTTAGGAGATAAGGGATGGAGCCAGCGTGATCATAGTATGTAATGCATATGCAGAAGTAATAATTCTGTTAATCTTAAAAACAATAGTGCGGTGGACCTGCGCAGAGGAAAGGTATCATGGACATGATCCACGTGTATAACATATAAGTGAGCTTGGGCACATCATACACACATATGCGCATGTTCAAATAGGAGATCAACCTGATAGGCGTTCACCGGCGTTGGGTAATCTAAGTAATCTTGAAATAAAGATATTAATATTATTAAAGAGATTGTTATCATACGCTCACATAAACACTACATACCAACCATGTACACACACACACATACACACACACACACACACACACACACACACACACACACACACACACACACACACACACATGCTCGCACACACACACACACGTGCACATGCACACAGACGCATAGTCATACATAATATTTGTGCACAGACTCACTCTCTCACAGTAACGTCCACAAACCACCACACCGAGTCCCTACAGCCGGTCGGTCGCCCAGTCCCAGTGGCTCGAGCGCAGGAATCGGTGGACGCTGCACTTGAAGGACTGCAACCTCTTCTGGTCGGGCTGATCCAGGAGGTGTTGGCGAGGCAACTGGTTCCAGGTGTCCAGCACTCGTTCAGGGACGGCGGACGTCGTTGCGAGAAATGGCTGGGATATCAGACTGCAGCTGGTAGTGGTGGCCGGCCGCCACCCACGCCTGCTGCCTGGTGTTGGCAGGATGTTGGTCGTGGTCTGGTACTGCTTGGGAGGGGGCAGCATTCGGGTTAGCATCTGTGGGCCTGTCAGGCAGTGGATTTTGTAGAGATAGCAGAGAGCAGCCACTTTGCGCCGGAGTTCGAGGCTTGGCAGATATACGCCTTCGCCGATCAGATGCAGGGCTCTCCGCTGTACAGCATCGAGTTGGGCCAGCACCGTCTGAGAAGCACCCATCCAGACTAGCATGCCATGCTCTAAGACTGGGCGAACAAAGCCATTGTAGACCGTGAGTCGGCAGCCAGGGTCAAGCACTGCTGAGGCCTTCTTCAGGAAGCCCAGTCGCTGTGTGGCGCGCAGGGCTGACTGTCGAATCTGCTGGCAGAATGTCAGTTGACTGTCGAAGGCTATCCCAAGTAGCTTCAGGCACTGGGTTTCAGGAACCATTTCACCTTGGAATGTGACCGGAGGGCAATCCCAGGGCCGACGGTGGTGGCTGACGTGGAGTAGGTATGACTTGGTGGGCTCGAATGTCACTCGCCAGGTCGCACCCCAGGCAGCAAGGGCATTGACGGCGGTCTGGAGATCATCACAGTCAGCTGCGAGGTTGCCGAGATACCGAATACACTTGTAGAGCGTTGTGTCATCTGCGTACGTGGCAAGGCTGGTCGATTGGGGAAGGTGGTCCTCAGCGTCATTAATGTAGAGCAAGAAGAGAGTGGGCCCCAGGATGTTTCCTTGAGGCACACCTGCTCGGATGACGTGTGTGGCTGATGTTTGTCCACCAACTACGGCCCGGATCTGGCGGCTCTAGGTAGTTTTTCAACCATGAGAGCAGGTGGCCAGTTAGCCCAAGACATCTGGCCTTGTGAACTACACCACGGTGCGGCACTTTGTCAAATGCGCCGGCCACGTCGACAGCAAGGACTCGGGACACACCCCCAGCATTGGACATCCGACTCCACTCATGCTGACGTGAGAGGAGAAGATCAGTCATGCCCAGGCCGCGTCGGAACCCGAATTGCCGACCGGAGAGGACCTGATTGCTTTCCAGGAAGTTAGTGATGCTGCGATTGATGATGGCCTCCATCACCTTAGAGAGTATAGAGAGGAGGGAAATCGGACGGTAGTCACGTTCTTGGGGGAAGACTTGGAGCCTTTCTTGAAAATAGGGACAACGTTCGCAATCTTCCAGGATGCAGGTTGCACCCCGTCCCGGAAGCACTGGGTGAATAGCTTTGCCAGAGGGCTGGCGAGTGACTGCGCTGACTTCCTGAGCACTTGCGCCGGAATGCCGTCAGAGCCAGTTGCTTTAGAAGCGTCCAGGTTCTTGAGAGCTCGCTGGACTGTGGCAGGGTGGAAGTGTACGGTCTTCAGCCGATTGCCTGTGCGTTGGCGAATAGGGGGCAGAGGTGTGTCTGGCAGGTCATTGGCACCAAGGCTACATTTCTCCGCGAAGTAGTGACCGAGGCAGTTTGCTTTCTCGATGTTCGTAGCATGTCCTTTGCCAGCAGGGTCCACAAGAATCGGGATGGAGCTATTTCGGGAGGTTCCGATGGACTGCTTGATGGTTGACCACCACTGTTTGTCTCGAAGGCTGCCGGTCTGGAGTCGTGCACGGACTATTGCTAGATGGTGATTCTGGGCATCACGTAGGCAATCAGAAGACTGGTGGACAGCGAGATTATAGTTAGCTTGACATTGGGGCGAGTCTGGTCGTCTCTTGAGGGACTTCCAGGCACTCTGTTTCGCCTTCACGGCCTTGCTGCAAGCTGGCTTTCACCAAGCGGGATCAGAGGGCCGAGTACAGAGAAGTTGGGATGGGATAAACTGGTTCATTCCATCTATGATGGCAGAGGTAATATTGGTGCAGCTGCTGTTTGCATCCTCAGACATGAGGGCATCCCAGTCCACACTCCTAAGGTGGTGGTTTAGTCTATCCCAGTCAGCGCGGCCATATTGCCAGACTGTTCTGGCCGTCTTGCGCTCTCGAAATAGTTCTGTCTTGAATTCTGCCAAGATGGTGGCGTGGTCAGATCTACCAATTGGGGGGCCGAGCCGGACCGTCGGGTTGCCCAGGTCACTCATGATGAGGTCGAGGAGGGCATTTCCACGAGTTGGCTCCGTCACATGCTGCTGGAGGTGATGTAGTGCGCAGAGGTCCTCCAGTTTCTCCCCAGCTGGAGTTGTTCTACTGCTGCCCAGCCAGGCAGTGTTGTGCGCATTGAAATCGCCAGCGATGATGAGGTGCTGTGCATCCACTCGGGCAACGTCAATGGTCTGGTCTTAGTATTCTACCATACTGATATCGTTGCCAGGAAGAGACCCTGGGCGGTAGGCAGCACACAAGACAACTTTGCGGCCAGGTCTTATGCGGATAGAAAGCCATACGACTTCTTGATCAAGGGTTGGAACAGCTTCCAGTTCTTGGAAAGCTAGGTGGGATTTCACCCACACAGCCACGCCTCCACCCTGTGGTGTTCGGTCTCGTCTTACTGGAGGGGAGTACCCAGGAAGAGTCACTTCGGCTTGCGTCATCTTATCCAGGGTCAGCTTGGTTTCTGTGACTACAGCAATATCAGCATCAGATGCCAGAAGGGTATGCTGAAATTCGCCAAACTTTGAACGGATACCAAAGGCATTCGTAACCAGCAATTTCAACGTCTTACTGGTCATTGCTCAGGAGAGGGTCGGCAGGTGGGAGACTATCATTGTTCTGAGGAGGAGGGTCAGACTTGGTGATGTCATCAGTTTTGGCAGGTGGGCTAGAATTTTCATGGCGTGCTCCAGTGCTTTCTTTGAAACGCCATTGCCTGGCATTAAGTGGCCGGGGCCAGAAGTTTGCAGCGGTAATTGTAGAAACTGTTACAGCGTCAACTGTCAGTCTCGCTGAGATTTTGCCGGTTGCTGATTCGTGCATACTGCAGTCGTGCACATCCGCAGATGTCCCAACCGCAGCTACTCTGTGTTGCACAAACTCCCTGAGGCGTTCCTCGGTGCATTGGTCGCCTAGGTTGCCAACGTACAGCACAGCTTTCTTCGCCCTGGGAGGCTCATGTACACAGAATACCGTAATGTCGCTTTATAGAAGCCGGGCATATTCCTGTAGACTGAGCCGATTTCAGTGCTAGGTTTCAAATCAGGCTTGTATTCAGACCCGTATGTATTTCTACGTGTGTCATCACTGAAACCAGGCTCAGGTGCCGACGGTCAGACCAGGGGCGGATCCAGGAGGGGTTCCAGGGGTTCCGGGGAATCCCCTAAATTTCCTTTTAACGTACTACTCAGGTGCGTGGCCAGATCTCAGAGTGGATACTTTGCAGTCAGGTATCCATACGTGGTTGGCCAGGACATGTTGACATGCACATCACTACTACCAGTTCATGCCCAGGTCTACAGTACAGGCACTGACTTCACACTTGGAGTCTACTGTTGACTGAAGAAGAGTTCACAGATGTACATACATGTAGGACATCTAGTCTACATGTATGTACATCTGTGAAGCTCGAGGATAGGCTTATACTTCTTTGAACGGCTGTTCGCATTCGCTGAGCGAACCACACTGCAACAGTGCTGCGCAGCACCGGTGCAGTATGGATTCACACCCACTTTTTGCACTAGCAAAACCAGAGTCGAAATGGAAGTTGGAAAGTCACGGTCTTTTTTGTTTCGAAAGCTTTCAGTTTGTTTCCATTTTCTTTTTATTCTTCGCCACATTTCCAAGTTCTTTCAGTGCGCTTTCACCAAACGAAAATTGGAGATTTGTTTTCAGCGACTTCTTCGAAGCGTCATGATAGCGGGTGTTCAGACAAATCTTCAAGCGCTGACGCTGTGTCGGTGCTCGATTGTGTCGACTCTGGCGGCGAATTCGCTTCAGGGCAGCCCTAAAGTGTGGACTCTCCGAGAATCTCCGACTCTCAATCAGTCTGGAACGTCGGGGGAATTGTCGTCACCCGAGGATGGTCCCGGTTGTCTTGTACAAGGTCCGGAACCTGCAGCGCGACATGAAGCCGGTGCTCTTCTTCAGCAACTGGTTGACGATGCCGGCGTTTTGTGAACGTTTCATGATCCGGAAACAGGGAGAAGTGCAAGGACAGTGGCTGGTGCGCAGGGCTTGTGGCTGAAGTTGCCAGTTTCCGCTAAGTTCAAGGGAGACATTTGAGCTACTGCCGCACCATTTCCGACCACCTAGGAGATTTACCAGTCCATGCATACGGTATAGCTTCTCGGCGACGAAAGCACCTGGCCAGAACATAATAAGGTTCAGTTGCTACTGGCTGGAGACCTACGCCTGGCTGACTGTTTCCAAGTGTGTGAGTGATGGGGTTTGTTTCACATGCACATAGTTTGGAGGAGAGAGAAACAAGTTTGGCCATTAACTAGGCCAGCTGTTTTCTAGTCGCTAGCAACTAAACCACGGAGCATCATTCTCCCAAGTATTGTGTGAACACCACGGCTCACACCACTCTGAACCAGTATCATGTATTTGTTGCTAACGCTGCACACATAACCTGCAATTTACTCACTCTTCGGGCGGAACTGTTTCGTCCATTGTGGACTCGTAAGCGTAGCACAGAGGCTGTATTTATATATAAATTGAAACATTGTGCTAACTTTTGCTATCAATTACACGCTTCTGTATTGTATATTGCAACTGCCAGATATTTTGCCTAGCCTCTAGTGGAATAACATGTGTTATCTCTATCAAGGACCTCCAATACATCTAGACTTGGTTGGCCAAAGATATCTAGTATCCATACAAATATAGATACAAATATAGCCCGAGCTACGCCACTGCTACTGGTAACCATATGCGTGTCCATGTACATGTATCTGCTACTCAGTTTTGACTACACTGGAACCCCCCCCCCCCCCCCCCTGTAGAGAGCGCTGGATCCGCCGCTGGGTCCACCTTGAAGATCAGGCTTGTATTAAAAAAACTAAAAAAGGTTTGTATAATTATGAGACAGGCTTCCGCTACAAGACACCACGGCATGCACAGTAGAGAGTTTCACTGTGGTGTGCATATGTCACCTACATGTACATCGGATGATTGAACGTGATAGCGAGCTTCCTTACCTGCCATAAGTCAATCTGCGACGACTTCTCCAGCACTAGAAAGACACCGCCATTTGTGCCGTAATTGCACACAGCATGCACACTGCCATGGAACACGATCTTCGCTGCCACCGAGACGATGGCTGATTTTTTGTTGCCCACGAACACACTGCAGTGTCACAACATGATACACACTGCAGTGTCACAACATGATACACACTGCAGTGTCACAACATGATACACACTGCAGTGTCACAACATGATACACACTGAAGTGTCACAACATGATACACACTGAAGTGTCACAACATGATACACACTGCAGTGTCACAACATGATACACACTGAAGTGTCACAACATGATACACACTGAAGTGTCACAACATGATACACACTGTGACTTGCATAAAGAAACACATGTATGTATTCATGTGGACAGTCATACTGTCACACACGTGACCTATACACACCTACACACAGATACTTGTAACATGTGCACAGTCATACTGAAGTACTGTCACACACACACACCTACACACAGATACTTGTAACATTGATCAGGTGCTAGCTACTGCAGTGAAACTGGAACCTAGCATCCTGTATGCAAGGCCGTCACAGCTGGGGCGGCTGAGGTTGCCCCACTTTGCCAGCCGTTTTTTTTTATGGAGCACACAGCAACAAAGCGGGATGATCGCGCGCAGCTCAGCCCAAACATGGCAAATAGTGAAGAATCCTTGTCCCCGATCGTGGTCTGTAGCATAATCAAACAGTCTTTCATTGCAGTTACACTGAAATGGCATCAAATGCCTGGAAATGCTTGCAATTGGCTTCAATTTTTGAAATTTTTTCCCGGAGGAGGGTAATGAAGAATCGTAGCGTCTTCTTGGTTTGTTGCAGAATCAAAAAGTCTTTCATTGCAGTTACACTGAAATGGCACAAAATGCCCGGAAATCCGGAAATGCTTGCAATTCGCTTCAATTTTGAAATTTTTTCCGGGGCATACGCCCGCACCCCCCTTCCATGGCCGCCCCACCTCCAATGTCGGTGCGACGGACCTGGTATGTCCTCACAGTACCAATGGCAATCTGTCACCATACATACCTCTTCCCACTGAAGTGCACTCGGGAGGACTTGACCAGTACAATACCCAAGCCAGAGTTGCTCAGGAAGGTTGCATCGTGGAGATGAAGTAAAGACCTGTTGCCATGGTTACCTGCAAAACCTCGCCATGTGCCTGCGATCAACAGGGCACCACCAAGCTTCAATGCTGCACCGTTTCTGGCAGTGTTCTCGGAGAACATGACGTTCCTCATGTCAAGTCGAGTACCTGGGTGCACTAACGACTGGTCGGTGTGTATTGCAACGGCACCACCCCACACTGTAGCTGTGTTGCGCTCAAACACACAGTCGGCTATCAGGAGTTCTTCGCTGCCATTGACCGATGACTCTGCGCTTTCAATATCGATGTGAAGGGCGCCTCCGCGGTATGCCGAGTTGTTGACAAAGTCTGTATTGATGATGGCCAACGACAAGATGTCGGTAACGTTACACAGGGGGCAGGCTGGCCTCCGAGCGCCGCCAGTATTACTGCGGTCTAGTTTGCTGGGCGGCTTTACTCGATCTGCGGATAAATGAATGTAGACGGCGCCCATAGGTGCAATGTTGTCAGCAAACAAGCAACTCTGGATGAGAGCACTGGGTTGCAGGGACTGACCGGTATTCGCATAGGCCATGAGTACCCACAGCACAGACCCATATTCGGCCTGTGGGCCATGCTCAAACGCTCCAATGCCTTCTTCGTTCAGCTGGTATCGGTACGGCTCAATGCGCGAGAAATTACATTGAAAGAAGAGCAAGTGTGAAGCAATGACGGAAGCAGCAGTCCCCCAGGTTGATCGTGTGTGATGCTGCTCGAACCACTGACCTTGGCTGTTGAGATTGCCAATGCTGAAATCAACGTCCGGAAGTGCCAGCGTTACTTGATCGATCCACTCTTGAGAGACACGTTCGTCGTCATCTGTGGGGATGTGCTGTAAGTTCTGACCCTGGCTGTAGTTAGCGAACACAACGGATGTCTGTATACCCGGTGCGAGGCAAACAGGTTCCAACTGGCTGGGTCCCTGTCCTTCAAACACCGAAGAGATGAACTGCACGAAGAAGCTATTCTTGATCACGATGTTTTGTTGACTGGCGAACGTACTTCTGAAAGCACACTCAACAAACGCTACCTGCTTACAATCCTCCAACAGTATGAAAGCCAAAGGCCGATTCGCGGCAGAAGCCAAAAGACTTTCTTCTTCGTTCAGCTCAATACGTCTGAACACCACAGCGAAGCTTCTTTCGAGGACAAAGAGGAACCCTTCCTCCTGATCAGTCCGCTCTTTGTCAGGTTCTGCCTTGGCTATGGCTGGTGGCACAAGAATGGCTCTTTCACAACCATCCGCCAAGTTACTGCCGTCCAACACAAGTTTCGTCAGTTCGAGAGGTTTGTTCAGCTTCCACGAGGTCGACTGCGCTTGCGGATGCGCGGCCACTGCCGAGCTTGCATTGTTGCTTCCCATCGAGACACGACATCGTGAGCTCTGATTGGTCATTAGGTATATCACTATGGTGTTTGTGCCGACCTCTGCCAGCTCTGGGTCTGCTGGCTCTGGGTCTGGCGATTTGGAGTCCAGTTCAGGTGATCGGGCTGCGTTCCGACTTCGAATAATGCTGGCGATGGCCAATGCGTCGGAAAGAGAAGCGCAAGCAGTCTGCGGCGAGCGGCATGCGCCAGGGCCTACATTTCTTTCATCTTCCGTGAACTCTTCCTTCGCGAACGACTCGGACCAGGGAGCTACGTAGAGCACAGTCTGTGGGCTGTTCGAAGACGGTCTCGTACTGCTAGACGTGGTTTGAGTCTGGCAGTCTATCGTTGCGGGGTGGCTCAAGAGCAGCGCCAACAAGCCGGCCACTACAAGTAGCACTGTTCGCGGCAAGGTAATGCAGTTCGGTCCGCCATTGGGGACTTTATCACGGAAGAAGAACATCTTTCTTTCGATCGATCGCCAACATTAGCAGCCGCCCGAAGTGACGCGGACTCTCGGCTGCCTTTTGGTTGAATAATGCAAGAGCTAGCACAGCCAGGCAATAATGGTAGCCCCATCCTGACGGGGCTCCGTGACTTGTTAGCTCTACGTAACATCGTTGTGCTGAAGAAGAATGCTTCTTGTAGCCGCGCGGATACCTGACCAGCGATCAATGCCATATCAGTGTAGGGCAAGGACCGGAAGACCGGTGAGGATCCGTATCAAGTGTGCCGCCCGTACTATAAGTTAGTATAACGGTTTAGAAAAAAATTATTATCTTAGCGCTTGGAAGCGGAAGGATTTTTTCCAGCCGTGCTGCGACCCACAGTTAAAGGGGCACTCCGGCTTCATTTTCGACGCCGAGTTTTCGATGCCAAGACGAAGGTTGGTGAAAGAGAAGACCCCTCGAACAAGAACGAGTCTCCAGAAGCGATCGAGTCGAGCAGGAAGACGACTTTTGAATTTCGCCGAGCGAGCGCTGATGACGTAATGAGGGATTAGCTTGCCAGTGGAAATGCATCTGCGCACATACATTTCACATACTTTTTGGCCAATTTTCAATCGAAGAGGAGGTTGTTTTCTATGTTCTCTCAACGTCGTGAGCGATCCCGTCTTCTATACCCTTCCAGGTACCCTGAAGGTCCTCCAGAGGAGAATTTATCTCCAGCAAAGCGTTGTTGATCCGCTAAATTCGTCTCGAGACATATTCACCCAGTGCAGTGCTGACAAATGTAAAATGTTGAATCTGTGATAATTGTCGACGATGGACAGAAAGGTTGATAGCCGCTGTCGCAGGGAAAGTGAAGCTGCTGGAAGTAACAACGGGGAGCTTGTTAGCATCACTTGATCAAAGCAGCTAGACGGAATCGGGGAGTACTGACTATTTGTCTCGCCCTCAGTTTAGTGAATTTTATGATCAGAAAATTTTTCGATCAGGATCCCTTCTACAAGATGTGTAGTACAGGTGATTTCTGAACTTGACGATATGGAGACCGACCAGTAGACCTACCAACAACGTGTACCTGCAGGAAATTCACCCAAGGCTATTGCTAATGCTAGCCTCTTCAGTGGCTGTTGTTTTTTTAGTAAAAATATGTTCACTTCTCTCAACATTCTCCTGCATGGCGGCAAGAAGGTGCGCTATGGAATTCAACGCCACAATCTTCACCTAGCTGTGGATGAAGCATGGTCAAGTCATGGCAGTACATATACTTGAACCAGATGAGAAATTGAAGTTCATTTGTGATGCGAAGTTTGACAGCCCCAGTGACCGAGTCAAGCGTTGTCTTTTGCCGTGGCACAAATTGCTGAAGAATCCGAGATGGTCTTGGAATTATGCACATGGATACTACCAGAAATAATGGTGGCATGAACCATTGTGGAATCGGACAGCTCACGGAGAATACTGGAATAGCTCAAGTATCTCTAGGCGATTGTAAATCCTGTTCTTGCTGATAGCTTCGGCCTGCTGCGCCCGTCCATGTACAATGATGGGAACATGCATTTCTGTTTTCTACATATTTGCTATCTACTGTACTGTGGTATTACAGTTGCAGGTCCCTTATATAGAATTATGTTCAACCCTCCCCCCCCCCCCCACACACACATAAATATGAACTAACAATTTCGCTGTTGGACTCGCCGGCGGCTAGAGAGCAAAGCAAAGAAAAGAATTATAGCAAAGAAAAGGACCCGGGAACTACAAGTTACGCTATAATGTACACGAACAATTTCACTGTATTTGAAATAATTTTGTTTGATACCCTGAGAACTCTGAAACTTTGCAGCACTGTGGATTATATGTGGATACAACATTTATGGAAGGAACACATAGTTCAAATAATTATAGCACTGAATTGTTGAGATTATGAGCACATTCCAATCAGTACTCTACATATTTATAAGTGGTGGCAATCGTTAGGAATAGGTCGTGAGTTGTCAGAGTGCTCTAGTATATGAGAGAATGTTTTGTTTGTCTAATCGACGGCTAGTTTGAAGCCAGAGTTGTTTGAACTTGCTTCAGTCGACTTGATTCTGGACAGTAGTCGAAGGAGTACTATGAAGTATACCCCAGGCGTAGTCTGTAAGGTATCTCGTGAGAATTCTGTCGGTACACATCAGGTATCAGCTTGCAAAGATGGCTCCTCTCTGTTTCTTGAAAGCCTGTATAGTTGGACTGTGGCTCCAGCGATTCCCTTCTCAGAGCAGGTACCATACCCAATACGGTCAATGCATATTGGACAGACCTGTGTGCACAACAGAAATAGTGGAGAGAAATCTCTCAGCTCATGAACACATCAGTGAAGTTTGAACTGCCGTTGTTTGTGGCCATCAGTACAAACCTATCGACTATAAGAATAATGTGCAAAAAAACCTCTATAACTACAGCTGGGGCCATGGAATTATAAAGCATCTAACTTAGGGAACTGCCAATTCTGGTCGGAGTTGCGTTCGAGGCCTGCAATTCATGATGGCTATCATATGTTGCATTGACCAGAGATCATATAAAACTTCCATGCCACATTGAAACACGCACTACTTTCGAGTACTTTGGTATCCCCCACCAAATGGGCATTCGTTCCCGGGGTGGCAGGCGTCACCATTCGTTATGCCTGGATCAGATTTCATTGACCCCAACTGTCATGAAGAATCATTTTTACTTTGACTGGATTTCAGTACAAGTTAGTTGTAGAACTGCAAAATAAATTTTGTTGTATTTGGGCAACCATTTCTCTACAAACGGTCTATTTGGATTTTTTTTTAAATAAAATACATGTCCAAATTCCACATCTACCCAAATCGGAATACTTGATCACGTATTCAGTCCTACACGGAATGTTTAGAAAACGCCAGGGAATAGGAATTTGCTAACGAGCACTCCAGGCCAGGGTACTAGCATAAGAACAAAACAAGATAAAAACTCACCAGTATACTTGTAGTAATTCATGTCGGTGTAATATTCACGATCAGCAACGAGGCACCCTCCGATTTGGTCAAGCTGCTTTGAATTCTGGTTGTTCAGGTGATACAAACGGGCTCCCCGTTGTTACTTCCAGCAGCTTCACTCTCCCTGCGACAGCGGCTATCAGCCTCTCCCTCCATCGTCGACAATTATCACAGATTCAACATTCTACATTTTATCAGCACTGCACTAGGTGAATATGTCTCGAGACGAATTTAGCGGATCAACAACGCTTCGATGGAGATAAATTCTCCTCTGGAGGACCTTCAGGGTACCTGGAAGGGTATAGAAGACGGGATCGCTCACGGCTTTGGGAGAACATAGCAAACAACCTCTTCTTCGATTGAAAATTGGCCAAAAAGTGTGTGAAATGTATGTGCGCAGATGCATTTCCACTGGCAAGCTAATCCCTCATTACGTCATCAGCGCTCGCTCGGCCGAAATTCAAAAGTCGTCTTCCTGCTCGACTCGATCGCTTCTGGAGACTCGTTCTTGTTCGAGGGGTCTTCTCTTTCACCTACCTTCGTCTTGGCATCGAAAACTCGACGTCGAAAATGAAGCCGGAGTGCCCCTTTAATTGGGAACTCGTGGCCTGGCACGAGGGAAACATGGATGCAGTGAATGGGATTTCGGTCTTTGACCACTTTGTGATGGGTCTGATCTACTCACCTCCCACCGCTTAGGAGCTGCATCTGCGCCTTGATCCAAGAGGGTGGTGGCGTTCCTGCGGATGCGGAAAACTGGGCCTTTGGCCGAGTCTCACGCGAACCGTGATTTTTTTTAGCCGCCATTGCAACGAGTTGTATTGAAAAAGACTCACCAATGCAGTCCGATTTGCCTGTGTATTCTGACTGGCAGCTGTAACTAGTGTAGTAAAGGCCGGAGAAGAACACTGAGTATTCAAAAGTAGCCAACACGCATTGTACTAATCCAGGAGCATACCAACGCGGAAAAGCATATGAATTTTAACAATAAGATAAACAAGAGCATGTGTGATGTGACGAACTCTTTAGGATGTGTTGGAATCTTCCTTTGTTGTTTGGTTGTGCCACTGGCGCCCATGAAGGAGCATGTGCGAGCGCCCGTGCGTGTGTGTATGTGTGTGTGTGTGTGTGGCGTGTGTGTGTGTGTATGTGTGTGGTGTGTGTCTGTGTGTGTGTGTTTGTGTATGTGTGTGTGTATGTATGTGTGTGTGTTTGTGTATGTGTGTGTGTGTATGTATGTGTGTATGTATGTGTGTATGTATGTGTGTGTGTCTGTGTGGTGTGTTTGTTTGTGTGTGTGTGTGTGTGTGTGTGTGTGTGTGGTGTGTGTGTGTGTGTGTATGCGTGTTTAAGCTGTTGAATGGTGTAATCCTAGCCCAAGTTGCTACTTGTATGTCTAACATAGCTGTTCTCTATCATCGCTTCTGCGATGGGCATGTCTGAGTCTGAGTCTGAGTGTGTGTTTACCAGCTGGAATGCATGTCTGAGTGTGTGTTTACCAGCTGGAATGCATGTCTGAGTCTGAGTGTGTTTACCAGCTGGAATGCAGCTGCTACGTTGGTTATAGTGTTACCATTGCTGCAAGTAACCAGAGATCATTTCTTGGTCTTTAATATCACCCATCACCGCGCACATGTTTTACAATGTGCCCCAACTGTAAGAGAAAACACCTTTCCTTTTTCACACCTCCTTCGCACCATACCCTACTTGTTATCTTCTATCACTTCCCTGCTATTTCTCACACGACTGTATATTCTTCAGCCAACGTGTACACCAACCACCCTACGCCTTAAGCGGGATTCACAGAAGCTTTTTTGCGATGCGACAGGCGCGAAACCGGGAAAACCCCAAATCGCAGCTTTGTCGCACTCCACGCAACTGCCGCAACTGGCCCATCGCAGGCCATTGCAGAAGTTGAGCTTGGCTCAACTTTTGCGATGCGATGCGATGCGACAAGCGATTTGGCGTACGATTTTGACCTTTATTACAGCAAAGTTGTACAAAGGTTCAAGAGTTGCCTATAAATTTGTACAAGTTGTATCAAACCGCGCGAATATTATGGTGACGTAGCCAAATCAGCAAGATTTTGTCGCATCACTGACTTCTTCTGTGAATGGTATTTCGCTAGTTCGCATCGCACGCGTCCGTCGCAGATCGCGTCGCATCCATTGTCGCATCGCAAAAAAAGCTTCTGTGAATCCCGCTTTACCACAATAAACATTTTTAATCCGCTTGGTTTTCACATTTCACATCACAATTTGTGGTTTTCCCAAATAAAGCCTTGAGTGACCACAATAAACCTTACTACCCTACTTGCAGGCTACAGACTACATGTACAATGCTACGCTACTACAGTACTGCCGGGTGTCCAAGAGCGGAGTGCCGAAGGCGAAGAACAATCAGGGAAGCCTCGGCACCAAGCATATACCAGTCAGGTATGCACTGAGTGACTCAACTGTGCATCCGATTGAGACTGTAGAGAAAATAAAAACGGCCAAGAGGCTAGGAGGTTGACCTCCTATTTCTTCTGCAACCGACAGTACTGTATGCATTCCACACAGATACTAAAACTGTCTTGTGAACATGCAAAGACTCACTGTTTAGCACCAGACTGATAAGGAGTACTGAGATACCGTATTCTACGGCATGAAAGTGAGCTTGAGCACTGCTATGCTATAGCACTAACCAACGGCCCGCTTCTGGAAGCCTTCAAGGTTCATGGATATCAGTGATAATTCCAAAGAGGGGAAGGTGAGATGGGGCGCCAAAGAAATACAAAATTGAAAACAAGGAAAATACCTGGCATTGTTCTAAAAATGGTCAACTTTAAAAGTCGTTTTCAAGTTCTTATTCTGCGATCATGGAGAGCATCATGCGATGCGATCACATTATGGATAAAGCAGTACAGCTACAGGTGTTCTTATATCTGCAAATCTAGCCTGGATTGTTCTGATCTGGGCCATTTTCCAGCCTACATGTAAGTGCTCTTCGGCGAAGTGATCATACTGTACATGACGTAGTAATCATACTGTACATGTAGTAGTGATCATACTGTACATGACGTAGTAATCATACTGTACATGACGTAGTAACCATACTGTACATGACGTAGTAACCATACTGTACATGTAGTAGTAGAAGCGGCCTGCATGATTGACAGAAGGCAGAACCTTCCATTAAAGGGGAAGTATACCCTAAAATCAAATTTTCACCAGTTGTAGTCTTCTGGGTGCTGAGTCGAATGGTCTTGGTCCGAGGAAGCTGCGACGCTCCCTTCCTACTTGAATCCCAATCGAACTCGCGCACTTCCACCGAAACTGGGTGACTGCGCCCTACTAGATGGGGATTTGTATGCAAAATGTCACTAAAAGCGCCATTTCGTTCTTATAAAAGCACGGATGACCGCGATTGGCCCATATGTTGTAGTCTTTTGGACGCTGAGTCGACTGGTTTTGGTCCGAAAAGGCTGCGATGCAGCGTTCCTCCTTTATTCCCAATCGAACATGGTTGAACAAGCGGTCACGTGCTCCTGCGTACACCAGTCAGCTGGTCACCGTGCCTGCAGGGTACAACTTACTAGCCTGTTTGACCTTTTTTGGGTGCAGTCATGTCACTCGAGTTGAACTCGAGTTGAACCTTGGTGTGAAAGTTGTCACCTGCTGGCGTGGTGACCAGGTGATTTGGGCACCCAGGAGCACGTGACCGCTTGTTCAACCATGTTCGATTGGGAATAAAGGAGGAACGCTGCATCGCAGCCTTTTCGGACCAAAACCAGTCGACTCAGCGTCCAAAAGACTACAACATATGGGCCAATCGCGGTCATCCGTACTTTTATAAGAACGAAATGGCGCTTTTAGTGACATTTTGCATACAAATCCCCATCTAGTAGGGCGCAGTCACCCAGTTTCGGTGGAAGTGCGCGAGTTCGATTGGGATTCAAGTAGGAAGGGAGCGTCGCAGCTTCCTCGGACCAAGACCATTCGACTCAGCACCCAGAAGACTACAACTGGTGAAAATTTGATTTTAGGGTATACTTCCCCTTTAAGCAAATGAAGATTGAAGATGGTGTGCGTGTGTAAGGTTTTCCATTTGAAGAATGAGAAGCAGAAAAATCACAGAAAGGCTAAGAGCAATGTTGAAGCTCTCAGTAAATGCTCTTCTTGCACCTCACTGTTTACTTTAGCCTGACTTAGGTACAGGTGGCAGCTCGGGGCAACTAGGTACAGGTGGCAGCTCGGGGCAACTAGGCCTGACTTAGGTACAGGTGGCAGCTCGGGGCAACTAGGCCTACTTTAATGTGCTCAAAATCAGAGTGCATGTAGCCCTGCTACAGAAAGGACACTGCTGCTTGTCCACAAATGGAAATTGGTCTAACTAATTACTTAGTGGCCGGATAAGGTATTCAAAATAGATAACGACAGGGTCCGGCTGCTTAGTAGCTACACATGAACTAAGCTTCTGAGGTGAGTTATCCAGTGCAGAGTCCAGTGACAGTGCATCTTCCACTCAGATATCACTTTGCACAGCATCGCAACAAGTTTCAGTGACTTCTGCATGCTGACATGGTCTCTGAGGTCGTCATTGCTGAGCTGCTTGCACTAACTCATCCCAGAGCAGCGGCTCTCTCAGTGCTATTTTTGCAGAGTCATCTTCTGAGTGGTCCACATTCTAGAGGAGGACAAACACACGGCACAAAGGGAGGGAACGCTTATAAAAGGGGTTGAACGCATCGATTTTGACATATACAGTGACTGGTTCCTAGTCACAACGTTCCTAGACTGTGTTTACATTCTCAGCTTCAGTGTTTGACACTAAGGGCTTTTAGAAAGCTTCCTACCTAACTAACAGTGTTATACAAGGTGCATGTTATGTTTGCTTGCATCCTATGAATTCTACGTAGGAATAAGCTGGTGTTTATTGGGGGGTATTCAGCTCTCATGGACCGAAGGCCAGGTGAGCTGCTCCCGAGCCTGTAACACTGGTTCAGTACTGCACCACCGGTCTGGACTGGACAATGCCGCCGCTTCTACTTACTTTCCATGTGGGCATATTCATCTGGTTTGATCGCGTACGACTGCCACCATTCTCTGTCGCCGTTGCATGCGTCTGCAGAGCAAGACTCTCATTGGTGGCGTCCCTTCTGAAATCCACAACAGTATCAATAACCTGCAGTGTTTGTGAGGCATCGTTGCCTCTCCACAATGAGAGCAACGCTTGCCGTGGCCGCTGCTGGATCGTGCTGCGCCAGCTGTCCACAAAGCGATACGCGTACACGGCCAGCAGCAGGGCAGACACGCCAAGGAAGATTGAGCAGGGCATCACGGAGTGTGGGTCACTCAGAATTGGGGCCACGACCAGGTCATTCTGTACAATGTCCAATCCACATTCGACGATGAGGACGAGCAGCAGCATGAACATCAATGTGTTGTCACAGTCTTTCAGCTTGCCCAGTGTTCTATTCCGGCGATACGGTCTGTACGGTGACGGTGAAAATTACCACACAAACAAACCACTGTCAATCAAGTGGCAAGGTGACACTGGGCAGACACAAACTGAGCAGTCAGGACACTAGCTCCTGCCATGGCATTGTCACACAAATATGTGTGCACATTCATGCATACACACACACACACACACACACACACACACACACACACACACACACACACACACACACACACACACACACACACACATATATATATATATATATAATATATGCCTGTCCTGTCCTATCCTGTCCTGTTGACCCACTGCCGTGACGGTTATGTGATCCCATTGCGGGAGGAGAAATAGGAGCAGGCACGCCAGTGTCGCGTTAACACACACGCTACACGCACACACATGCACATGTACACACATACACACACAAACACACACACACACACACACATATACACACACAAACATACACACATATGCACATACGCGCACATACACATACACACACACACACACACACACACACACACACACATACACACACATACACACACACACACACTAGTAGAGAACTTCAGGAACAGGACGTGGTCCAGTATAAAGGTAATTATGTTTACTTGTTTGGGGTGGATGCAGCAACAGAATTACACTGTTATATTCTCATACAATGCTGCGGGCCCCTAACTTATATAGCCCTGCATACCTTATATGGCCCCTCTGCATACCTTATACTATTACAGCCCATCGCAGGCACATGCCGTATTATTATAGCCCCCCCCCCCCCTGCATACCTTATATAGCCGTGGAGGGCCAACTCCAACACCAGCATAACCAATATGACAGCTCTCTTGTGTGGTCCACCAGTGACTATGGCCAGTAGTATACTGTATGCAATTCGCCTCATGATGTTGTAGGTAGCCCACCACTGGCAAGATGGTTCGTAGATATGCTTGGCTTCATCCAGCAGACCAATCAGTGTTGGCCAGCGGTGAGTAGGTTGCCAGACAAGTAAGATTGGTACTGGTAGAACAAAACAAACAACCGATATCATGGCAACAGCCACGTACAGTGCATGCTCTTTGCTGAAGCAGGTCATGGTGGCGTCGATGAACACGACCAGCTTGCCACGAATGTTGATGCAGCGCAGCAATGTGAATGAGGAGTAGGTGATCAGGCAGATGGACCAGAGCAAGACCAGCCAGAGGACATGGCGGATGGAGTGACGGCGCTGCAGGCGCTGCAGTACACGCAGTGTGCGACCGTGACGTGTTCTACCCACTGCGTAGAAAACCATCAGGCAGACCATTGACATGACTGGTGAGATCAGCATGGCCGTCTGCCGTTGCAGCGGTGTCAAGTCAGTCGATAAGCAGATATGGGACATGCCAAAGTTTATGATGCTTACATACATAGCCTTTGTTCTTTCATTCGAACCATAGATGCAGTAGTGGCCCTGGATGGCAGAGAAGACAACAAAGCAGTGGCACATATTTCTAATATGGATATGTGGTGAGGGGAAACTTTTCAAAAGCGCACACAATAACTTAGTACCAGTGGATCCACTTATCAAGAATACTTTATTCGTTCCGAACTCGGATGGAGAGCCAAGGATTGATTTATAGAAAAGAAAAAGGACCAAGGAGCTAGAAGTTACGCTATAATGTCCACTAACACCACCGGTTACTGAACAATTCAGTTAGTTGTAGAACGTCAGTACCGTCGGTCAGTATCGCATGAGCTGATTGTTTAGTAACTGGTGGTGTTAGTGGACATTATAGCGTTACTTGTAGTTCCTTGGTCCTTTTTCTTTTCTATAAATCGTTCCAAATTCAGATGGTGAGCCAAGGAAAAATTTGTAACATTGGAAATTGTGGGCACCAGTTATGCGATTGAGTCCACCAACTAAACCAGATTTTGAAAAGTCAGACGTGCACAATTTAGCACAAAACTGACAGGGAGTACTGAGAGATTCCACGGCATGAAAGTCAGCTTGAGCACTGCTCGATAGCGCTAACCAACGGCCTTCCAACTTGGAAGGTTCATGGATATTAGTGCTAATTCCAAATTCAATAAGGTATCATTGTATATCGATCCAGCTGGTCCCGTTGTTTGCATTTTTGAACAGATTTACAAGTATATGTTTTGTTTTTACCTCTTTAAAAACACAACGCAACACATGAAGCATGAAGGACAAGAAACAACAGTTCTTTCTCATACCTCACATCAGCCATAACAAGTGCAGGGTTGGCTGCGGGCAGCCATATTGCAAGACAAAAAAGAGTTTATTTCAAATTCAGCCAACGAGAAGCGTACACATAGTGGGTCGCGCTATGCGCTAACAAAAGGTCTCCAGCACTTCTTGCCCCAACGGATAGACTTGAGCAAAAGCTACCTTTCGAGCTAACCTTGAAGTACGTTTAAAACTTTCTTCAAGTAAAACTTCTTATCAGTTATCAACTTATCACAGAAGAGAAAATCGACCTGCCCTGTATCTATTGCAGATGATGATTACACATGTGAGCACAGTATGTGAATCAAATGCCCCCTCCCCCCCCCCCCCTCACCCACCCACCCACTCAGCCATCCAACAAACGGTAGTCGGATTCATGTGTTCTAATGAACTGACACCGTATCTGCCAGGCAAGGGCGGGAAAGCGCGTGCACTTGATGATACTTCTGCCGAAGAATGATGCAATAAAAGTCCACCGTGTGTGAACTCATATCGTAGCTCTCGAGATAGCCTGAGCTGCACTCTCTTGTTATGTACTCTTGAACCGGGTACTAGGTTCCACATGCACACCATGACTATGCAGTGTTGAACCGGGTACTAGGTTCCACATGCACACCATGACTATGCAGTGTTGAACCGGGTACTAGGTTCCACATGCACACCATGACTATGCAGTGATATCTGCTCTTACACTGCGGGGTACGTCCTTTTGATCCTCTCTTGGACAACCATCCAGCATGGGGCCCAAACCGGCATGCATCCACAATGCAACTCCTACACAATCAGTCAGACCTGTGCAGGTCATGATTGTATAACAAGTTCACACGTTTGCGTTATCGGTACAGCACCAAATAATACTTGAGCATGCCAGCTGCTATACAAATGTAACTTCAGTACCCCTGTTTTCAACACTCTGCAGCTAAAACATTATTGAAGACACGTAGCACAAGGAAGACATTTTTAATTTCTTTACCACAGGTCCGCAGAATAGCTGATTGGTACTTTCCGACTCCAGCAGCTTGTCTGTAATAATTGTCCACAATGTTGTACTCCGAGCCGCCTGATGTTGACTCCACTTTACAGTAGGTTCCATAAGGCAGGCTTCCTGCATCTTTCGTGTCTCAGTCATAATTGTCCCCAGTTCGGAGAAATTTTGATTATTGGACGATAGGACGTTGAACTTGAAGGTGATTTTCAAAGTTTCGCTCTTTGTTTTTAATACCTTCGATACTAGTGGCGACACTTTCTTTGGAGTGTCACCAAAATTCAATGGCAGCTGGTCTTGATCCTGCCTCTTTTAGACGCTTCGACGAACTCTAAGGGCTCAAAAAGCACGGGCCATGACGACAATTACAGCACTCCACGGCCACTATTCAGGATCTAGTTTTTGAAACTAATACTTATTTTCGAAGTTTCCGCAGCAGCTCAACAAATGCATGCACCTCTTTCTCCGAAGCGAACGCGTAGCTATAGATCTACATTCAGTGCAGATCTACTTTAGTCTTTGTATTATCTACAGCTACGTACAAGACAACAATGTTCAATTATGTCATAATTATAGATCTACCAAGCTGCATAGCTAGCGGACCGCTCTGGCCTGCAGGCCATAGCATGGGGCGAGCACGTCGCACTGACATGGGTTCGTGGTCACACCCGAACTATGGTCGGAAAAATCAGGGGGTTTGTTCGAACCCCAACCCCCCCCCCCCTGGATCCGCCCCTGCTGTGCAGGGTGCAACCACTTGTCCGCCACCACCAGCTTTATGTGCACCTTCACGGGGGTGATTACTAAACACAGGTTTACTGTAGCAGATACAGAGATCGGCAATGGGGCGAAAGTGCCTCCTTCACCCAATGCTATGCAAACCGTTTTTATCGGTTATACACATGTAAGTGAGCCTTTTTATGACCTAAAAGCCGAACTATAAAGGGGAAGTCAACTTACAACCGGGGTCTAACTGCGTTTGAGCTGGCAAATGAGGTCCTGGGTTGCGGGTAGGGGGTAGAGGGGAGCTTATAACCGGGTCAACTCACAACCGGAAAATACGGTAACATGATTTCTGCCTAAATTCTAGAAGTGACATACCAAGGCAAAGAATAGCCACATGTCCATGACAGCAGTGACACCAATGTTGAACAGCAGAGCAAGCGAGAAGACAAACATCACTACGAGGAACAGGAGAATAATGACGGCGTATAGTGGTAATGATCCTGGCCGCTTGCGACAATCACTGCAGCTCTGGAAAGGCAAAAGGACAAACCGGGACTCAGTGTACACATTTCCGAACTGAGGGATACATTTTTTTCAGATCATGTGACTTCTTTGAAGTACTGAAGTGCTGTGTCTCGTTGGAACAACCAACTTCATGACTAATACCGCCGAAGACGCAACTTCTAAGTCCTTTGAAGTAGGTTGGGAAAACCTGCTTGCCTGCTTTTGAAAATTGCTGGCTATCAATGTTGGACAAAGAGGAACCATAATTGCAGCGGAACATTAACAATACCCCAAACTGTATGTTGTGTACATTGTACGTGTAGAACTAGTAGATAACGGCACTAATACCCCAAACTGTATGTTGTGTACATTGTACGTGTAGAACTAGTAGATACCGGCACTAAGCCCCGTGTGATAGATGTTTCCAACAGGTAAACATGGCGACTCAGAGGAATGCATCACTGGTGAAATCCAACCATGCTTACCAATTGCTCCAGTCTCAGAGAGTATCCTGGCTTGCACTCACTACACAGTAGGCCGCGTGAGTGGGACTGCACGCTGCATGGCTCATCACGTCCCAGAAGCCACTTACTCTTGCCAAGGTGCTGCGAGCATGTGCCTTTGTCACAGTAGGTTGCGACAAAGGCATCTGGCGATCGACTCTGCTCCAATGTTCCTAGTGGGTCACTGCCAGCGCGGAGGAACGCTGTTTCTGACATGACAAAGCCGCCTCCAATACCGTCCAGTGCAGAAGAGTTGAAAGGTTGGCCGGGAACACTGGAGCTATCATTACGTCCAGCCCAGCAGTAAGGCGAGATGTACACATCCTTTCCTTGGCCGCAGTCACGAACGCAGGGTAACTCACGCCTGCATCTACATGCAAGTTTCTGTTCCACGATCTCCCGAAGGTTTTGCAAGTAGGGGTCGTGGACGTCAGAGTTGAAGCTCTTCGTGTATTCCTGTGCCTGTACAACCATTTCAACATCAGCAGAAAATACCTCTGTACTGAGCTTCACTGAGCTTCACTGAGCTTCACTGAGCTTCACTGAGCTTCACTGAGCTACTCTACCATTTTTACACGTAGCGTATGTTTCCAAGCTGAGTTGCAGCATCTCTTTCCGTAGGCTGCACCAGGTTTCAGTACAGCACTGCATCAAAAAACAAACAAACAATGTTTGCCGGTATGCGTACTCTCGACTACACATGCAGTCGTATCCTGCATGGGATGGCTGGGGACTGCGTACTATGCCACGGAATGATGGCCATTCCATGACAGCAGACCCGGGCTGTAGGATTCCAGAGGGCAAGTAGCTACAGCCTCGGGTTATGCGAATGAGGTCATGGTGGTGTGCCTATGGAACCGCTTACGGTATGTATATGAGCGCACATCAGCTAAACCGCTCACGAGCGCTATGTTTACTGTGCGAGTCGGCGGATTTGGTTGAAAAATCGTATTGCTGTGCCGCGACTTGCCAAATCTCTCAACTGATGATGCAATCGCATAACCTCTGTAACTTCTTTATACCACTATGCTGACAAACTAAAAAATACTTCAGGACATGACGGAAACTAAACTCACTGGAAAAGGACGAATATGGTCTACAACATCTCGCATGCTCATATCCACATGAACTTGACTAGAGTAAGACAGTTTGGGGTATGTCACCGCCATGAACAACACTGGGTAGTTCTACTACAACCCAAAGGTACCGAAATTACATGTGACCAAAAATACATGCATTTACAGGGCTGGGAATAGCTATGGTCCTGGCAAACCACCAGCTTGTTGGCTTGGTTGCTCAACTCACGTCAACATGTGATGTCTTTGGCCACGTGTATCCCAAGTGACAATTGCGGAGACGAAATGGGATCTTGAGTACAACCGGCTTGGAATGGGCGGCACCATACATGGATAGGCCTGGGCCAGAGCAGACCATACACAATAAGGGGGACAATTTCACAATAACGTTTTAGGTCTAACAAAGTTAGTCATGGGTTTGGGGTTCCCGGATCGACTGCATTTTTCCTGACGATCACAAACGGGTGTTTTAGTACATACATTGGGTACAGCACTTCTTTTTTCACTCTCTAACAAATAGAAAGGGTAAATTTTGGCAACTACTTGCCAGCAATGTGCTTAATGCATGATGTAATTCATGATGTAATTGGTGGATACCCTAAAGCTTTCAAAGGAACTCTGCCTCGGCTAACAAGCCTCCCCCCCCCCCCCCACACCCCTCGACCCCGACCAAAGATACCCCCCCCCCCCTACTTGGACCAACCCCCACAGCCTTCCAGGTAAGCGCCTGTGGGTGGTCTACGGTGATGCACTGAACATGGTTGTTCCTAGCCTACCTTTAGCCCGTACTGTCAAGTACCCTTGAGCTCCGGGAATGCCGTAGAGAACCAGGTTGTGCATGCCTGCCAGCGACCAAAATATCTCCGGTCTTGTGGCCTGAAAGATGAATCCCGGCCGACCAAGTAGCACATCCTCATGGTCGGACACAACCTGAAAACAAGAAGAACAGCCTAGTATTCATTTGTTTGAGAGAAAGTTGCAAACAGGAAAAGCCCAGTACTTTGAAAAATTCCAATTAAAGACCCTTAGCCCTAGAATATTGCGCATAGAAAGGAGCTAAGTAGATTGTGAAACAGATCAGGACATGGTTTTGCACAGTCTTGCAGCCAAGTGTATAATCACTGTTGCCGGTGCCTTAAATGTGGTATCATGTGACACTATAGTGTTAGCCACTAAAAAATTCCTGGAGGAGGGATCTAGTGGCTTGCCTCATTGTAGTCAAGCAGAAAATTGTCCTTCAACTTACTACACGTCCTCTTCCCAGCCAGTACTCTCTATCTGCTTGCAGGAGTGCCGGAACTCTATACCAGGCTAGTGAAACACATTTTACCAGACTGGGATACTTCCTTGCTTGCACCAGGGTGGGGTCCCAGAATTATACCGTAGCAGTTGTGCCCTGAAAAGAATCATCTCTTTGTCCCCTATCCGATGCTTTCCTTGGCAGCGTAGGCCTTTGCTTACCGGCAGCTCCCAGGAAAATGCACTTCGTCATCGTGCATTGTGCATAGCATGCAACTGCACTTCCCTTGATTCAAAGGTCTGCTTCCAATCATGATCCAGCCCCAAATCAGTAGTGCAAGTACCCACTAGATGTTTTTCCACATGGAACTCTTACCGAGACAAAAAGCGGAATATCGTGCGGATTGAGCATTTCGCCGAATGCGCTGACATGCAGATCAAACTGTTCTCCCGGCGCTGGGTTCAAGGTGATGTTGCCGAGGCTCTGCTGCCAGGATGCTGTGCTAAACCGGCCGGCTTCATCAACACGACACCGGTGATCGGAGTGTACAGTGCTCCGTTGCGGACGACTCAGCCAGGAGAGAATGGTGGAGGCCCAGGGCGCCATCACAAACTTGTAGCCCGGCAGCACAGGCAGCAGGTGAATTCCGTCGTATTCGCCGTACCTCTGAGCCAGATCTAGCAGTGTGCAGTCCGTCGCCACTGGCAATGGCTTGCTGCTCCAGGGACAGGCCAAATGAAACAAAACATATCGTCCGTCAGTATTGTGCTCAATGTTGCACGTTCCTACCCTACAGTATCTTGGCAATACTTCGGTGAACAACAACGCCTAGTACGTAATGGACTCGGATGGAGAGCCAAGGATAAATGTATAGTAAAGAAAAAAGGGACCAAGAAACTACAAGTTACGCATTAATGTCCACTAACACCACCAGCTACTAAACCATCAGCTCGTGCGATAACATTGTAACTTGTAGTTTCTTGGTCCTTTTTTCTTCTTCTTTACCATAGTACGTAAACTTAACTTTGATCCGTTCCTTCATCAATCAAGTGAAACAAGTAAGAAGGAAAGAAACCATTGTGTCAGCAGCAGCAGCAAAACGCACGCTTCACCTCACACTAGCTTTGTTTGGAAACGAGTACTGTAAATATACAAAATTTCGGCGCTGCAAAATTTCGGCACTTCACGATTTTTGACATTTCGGCGGCAATTTATTTTCGGCGTGGGGTAGAGGGCATAGTATAGTGCGACAGATGCTGCGAAAAATGTCATCGGCGTTTTAATTTAGCCGTTTTGGGTCGGTGCCGAATATAGCCGAAATTAAATAGCTGTCGAAAATTTGTATATTTACAGTAGATGCAAAGTCTGGCGGACCGCTAACTAACAGTGCACGTTTGTTCATGCACAGTATTCCCACCGCTTATCCCGCCGCCAAACAAAGCCTCGGAAAGCACTGACGGTGGGCGTGGATATGTGCATGTAGCAGGGAAATACACGGACGGTCTCTCACCTGGACAGCAATGCTTGGTTATAGATGCTGGAATAACTGCACCCCTTGTGAAAGTACCAGATATCGTCTCCTATCTGCTTGTAGCACGACGTTGTGGTCTTCTCAAAGATGAGCCATGTTGTCAGTGAATCTAGCGGAATGAATGACAGCTCCGACTGTGCATCAAAGCGCTCGTTTTGCACAACAAACATCTGGGCATGACTGACGCACAACTGCTGTGGCTGGTACAGAAAAGCATTAGGAGTGTGACACTTCTCCTGGTGATCCCTACATATTCCTCTTCTAGTTGAGTGGAAAGTATCTCTCCAAGCTTGCATGGATGCGTTTACCCTGGCCTTGTGGGAATCAGTTGGGGATGTTGTATCCATATACCTCTGGTATTCTAGACATCGATCAAAAGATGACTCATCATCTTCCTCCGCTGCGGCACCTAACAAAAGAGCAAGTTAATAACGATGTCAGTCCAGATAGAAAAAAAGCATTTTATGTTGCATTACGATAGCACTGTAACAAGCATGAAACTCAGACGGTTGCAACAAACGACAAGTCTTGTTCCGCAGTTGTTCTGTGTAGTCTAGATAGATGTAGATGCAGGTGTGACTGTGCATTGCTGCGTTCCCGGAAGAAACGTTCATCCCACACCAAAGCATGACAAGTGCAAACACGCTTGGTCTCTCCTACTTAGCTCAAGCTTCATCTTATAGGATTTGAAACTAGTCAAGCTGCTGACAGCTGAAACTTTGCGCTACCTGGACATATTGTTAAAATGTGGTTGGGATTTGACTGAGTTCCGCTTGATTGAGCAATGAGCACCCACATGTATTCTACACACGTGGATGCATGCTTCGATTTCGAAGTTACACAGCCCTATTGAACAGGTTTAGGAGTGGTGAAGAAGTAGACTATGGAAGAAAAGGCATCACTCAGGGAAGCAAGCAGGCTCTACACACCATGAAGATGTGTTCAACACTAGTTGAACAACAGTCCAGGCATAAATTGTTTTCAAATTGTCTATGGCTTGGACAATTGATGAACAGCTAAAATAGGTTTGGCACTTCAAGAACAGTTTCAAACCGAAAAAAGCTCTCTCGTAACATTAATTAACGTTTTTGAAAGCCTGGCTAGTGCCGTGGCCCTGAGTGCACTGATTTTACATTTTGATGCACATCTATGCTTGGTGCAACATGTACCTTCATCATCTGCTGCTGCCGAGTGAGTTTGTGAGTGCTGTGCAAGAGACAGCTGTGTTTGGCCAGTAGGCATTGTGGTCAAATTGCTGCTCGTGCCTACTTTGACTTGCTTGAAGTCGTTCAACTCGCATGATTTCCTCTGTGGTAAACTGGCGTTGAGCAGGAGAGCACAACTTTCCTGACACGGTGCATCCGATGAGAATTGATCAGCTATGTAGCAGTAGAGTGGGTCTTTCTGCAAGAACTCTGTAGTACAATGTCCATGCATAACAGAGCACGATGTCAGCACGATGTCAGCACAGTGTCAACACAGCATCCAAGATGATTAATTAGTGCAGATCAAAAATAAACATAGCCGCCTGGCTTGTCATTTTTTGAATTGATTGTAGCTATCAAGAACAACTCTGGGCGTTCAAATGCATGGATTAAAGGGGAAGTTAAGCCTAAAATCAAAATGTTCACCAGTTGTAGTTGTAGTAACTGGCCTTTCTCCACCTGCTCCCAGTCCCGTGCCATCTCCACACTTATTCAAAGGGACGACGATAACTACATTTAGAAGACTGTTTATTGACACGACGACGAAACACAACTAGACAAGACGAATTCAAGACGAAGACATGATGAACTCAAGACGAAGACTGCTTTTCATACTACAGCAACACGCGCATGCGCCAACATGATGTACACACGACGTACACAAAATAACGTACTATATACGATATGGTAAATCTATCGATATACGGTACATACGGTACATACGGTATGATACGGTAGAAAGTCCGTCTACTACAGTAGTCTTCGGGGTGCCGAGTGAAATGGTCTTGGTCCGAGGAAGATGAGACGCTCCCTTCCTCCTTTATTCCCAATCGAACTCGCGCACTTCCACCGAAACTGGGTGGCACCCTACTAGATGAGGATCTGTATGCGAAATGTCACTAAGAGCACCATTTCGTTCTTATAAAAGCACGGATGACCGCGATTGGCCCATATGCTGTAGTTTTTTGGACGCTGAGTCGACTGGTTTTGGTCCGAAAAGGCTGCGATGCAGCGTTCGGTCCTTATTCCCAATCGAACATGGTTGAACAAGCGGTCACGTGCTCCTGTGTACACCAGTCACCTGGTCACCACGCCAGCATGCGACAATTTTCACACCAAGGTTCAACTCGAGTTCAACTCAAGTGACAAGAATGCACCCAAACAGGCTGTAAGTTGTATCCTGCAGACACGGTGACCAGGTGACTGGTGTACGCAGGAGCACGTGACTGCTTGTTCAACAATGTTCGATTGGGAACAAGGACCGAATGCTGCATCGCAGCCTTTTCGGACCAGAACCAGCCGACTCAGCGCCCAAAAGACTCCAACATATGGGCCAATCGCGGTCATCCGTGCTTTTATAAGAACGAAATGGCGCTTTTAGTGACATTTCGCACACAAATCCCCGTCTAGTAGGGTGCAGTCACCCAGTTTCGGTGGAAGTGCGCGAGTTTGATTGGGAATAAAGGAGGAAGGGAGCATCTCAGCTTCCTCGGACCAAGACCATTCGACTCAGCACCCCGAAGACTACAACTGCAATTCAGGTGCCACAAGCCTCTGCACAGAGAAGTGAGTAGCAAACAGATCTGATGGCCGCAACTCAACTCGCCTTTGTTAGTTACGGTATTATACCCACCGCGGGGCGGGGCACCATTCCTGTACTGTATACTGTATTTCAGCAAACAGTAGACCATGCTGCTCAAACAATGGACTGTGTTTGAATATACGAGGCCGGGGAAGGGACAGTGCAGGAAATGGAGCACCACGGTCCATTAGCAGACAAGTCCGTTTTACGCGGCTCATCCAGTGTGTAGTAGACGGACTTCTTCCTACACAAAACATTGTGTATTGCACTATTCATTGCTGGCACCATCAGGTCTCTTGTTACCTACATTAGATAGTATCTATTATTCTTCTGTCAGACAATGGGACCAGTGATGCATAACTGCCATTGTTCTTTGCTGCCATTATTCATAGTTCGCTAGCTCAAAGCTGTAGCTTCACTTCAATTTTTTATATAGGTCCGTTTTTCAGTTCCCAGTTCAGTTGTTGTTTAGTCTTCCCTTCAGTTGAGTCTTTCCTTCCGTTTCAGTCTTGTTTTCTGTCTAACTAACTTACTTCTGTGCTACCTAGTCCTCTGAATCGCTTGTAAAACCTACTTCTGTAAACTAACTACTTGTGTAAGTTCGGAGAGACTGGACCAGTTTGCCTTGTCACTCGGTCGCGTATGACACAGTGTATCATGCCTGGTAAGCCTTTTACATACACTGCTGTGTGTGTTCATATCTTGGAAATGATTGGCGGGTTGAAACGTTAGAAAACCATGCTCATCGGAGATCATATTCCGGCAAACATAAGACAGGCATGGACAGGGTGAAACAAGAAGCGTTGCAGACCTGACCCCCACCACCATGGCTGCTGCATGTTCCCATTGCGTGCACCACATGGCTTTTTTGGGCAGTTGAAAGACAAGTGATTCTAGTATCATTCTACTCATCCTCTCATTTAGGCTAATAGGCTTAGGCTCAATAGAAACTAACCACTCTGTAGTTCCCAGTGAGCTGGTCCATACGGCATACAGTACCGAGGATCCTCAACTTTGTAGATCATGTGTGCCAGCTGCTGGTACGCCACAATGCAAGGATACAGGCGAGCCAGGTACATGACCGACGTCAGATGCAGTCCAGAGTGTCCTTTGCCGTTCCCTGTGAAGAACGCCTGGGGAGTGGGGGAGGGTGTGTGTGGGGGGGGGGGGAGTGGGGGGTATTACATAGAAGTAACGCAACGAGTTTAGCCACATGCTCACCATCGCCACTGAGACCTGGGGATTGTCATCAATAGTCAGTTCCAAATCATGGGTCACAATCAGCTGAGTACTCTGGTGCGGACTGCATTACAGCTTGCTGCATCCGTCCATCATTGCTGTACAGTTGGATGACCTTGCCGTTGAACACATCCAATTCCTTTGGGAAAGCATGCTATTCTCTGACTAGTTCACTAACTCTCCAACCATCAAAGCACCCATTGGATCATTGGAAAGCCCCTGCTGCCTAACTTCATCCATTCCCCATTGCTGCTGAAAGCAAGGACTGTTACGAGTGTTGGGTCATCTCTTTTCATAAGTTTCTGGTTCAGGTAAGACATTGCCCTGACTAGAAAGCATAGCATGTTCATTTGCAACTGTGATTGTATTCCCTGGTCTATAACTCCTACCCCATTGATAAAAGTCGTATCAATTTGTTTTTAAACATCACCAACTTGGCTAATGATGAACAGGGATGGGCGGGGCAGGGGAGGGGGGAGGGGGCGGGGGGGGGGGGGGGGGGAAGGAGTTGCTACTGTTACCCTCCTGAATACCACCAAAATATACATGCCATATAACAATGTGCAAACCTCTGCCATGAGTGTACCAGAGAGCATGGGGATGTGTGTGTGTGTGTGTGTGTGTGTGTGTGTGTGTGTGTGTGTGTGTGTGTGTGTGTGTGTGTATGTGCATGTGTGTGTATGTATGTGTGTGTGTGTGTGTGTGTGTGTGTGTGTGTGTGTGTGTGTGTGTGTGTCTGTGTCGGAGACTTTGACATGACTTCTACATTTGGGGTTCTAGTAGTACCGTTCTACTAAACATATCTACCTACCATGCACCTACCATGCACCTACCATGCACTGAGCTTTGTACCTACCATGCACTGAGCTTTGTACCTACCATGCACTGAGCTTTGTTCTGCGGGCAATTCTTGGGAAGAACAAACGGGCAACGAGTAGTCCTCCTTTGAACACGATTACTCATTGTTCTCTTGGTGAAGGCATTCGCATCGGCATACACCACAGTACCCTTACCGACTGCCTTATTCCCACTAACAGTGATGTTAACTACCTGCAGCAGCAAATACACATTCAAACCATATAATGCATGTACGTATGGCAACATGTGTCCACAGACAGACAGACAGACAGACAGACAGACAGACAGACAGAGAGACAGACAGACAGACAGAAGAGAGGGAGAGAAGACAAGAAAGAAAGGATAAAGAAATTCGGAATCAAACAGAGCTAGGAAACACCAGTGCAAAATGAATCTTCGACTGATGTTGAGAACTTGAGGAGTCAAAAAGAAAAATATGTCATGGCTCATGTGAGGTGAAAGTCAGCTGGATAGGGCTTGAAAGTGATGACGTCAAAAACGGCCAGGGAGTAGTAAGTTGACATCAGATTTCTATTTTGGATCCACTAAGGTGTGACTTCGCTATTGCCTCAGTATGTGGGTGCATAGCAACCCACTCATGTCGTATGCAGGTGTGACTTTTACTTCGCCACCAGTTGTCACCCCGCCCCCAGTAGCCAAATCAGTCAGTTTCACTGGCTACATCACCTTGCTGTGAGTAAGACCGCTTGAAATGTGCTTGGATCCATACAAAAACTGGATCCAAGTGGATCCAGTTTTTGAATTTTTGAAATTGTTGCTAACTTATGCTGTGACGTAGCACTTTCAAGCCCTATTGACTGTTCTGCATGTATGGAGATGCCACAGGCACTCTCACGGATCAAAGCGTCTCATTGAACTGCGTTAATACAGCCTCAGTACTGTTGTGCCGGAGAGCTTACCTGGGACAGGTCGATTTGTGAATTCCTCTTGCGGATAGCGAACACTCCGCCATCCATGGCTTTGTTGGACACTGCATGCAATGTTCCGTGGAAGGAGATGCGGGCCGCTTGGGAGATGACAGCCGACTCTTGATTCTTGGTGAAGTTGCTGCAATGATACAACCAGAAATTTTCTCCCCTGAACTTCAGTAATGCAACAATCTCTCCTCTTCTCCTCCTTCTGCATTTTCTCTCAGCCAACCGGAATGGCACCGTTTACAATTATAATGATGTTCAGTACAGGGCTATAAAATAGAAGCAACAAGAAAACTAGCACATAGCAGAAACTTGTGCTTGCACTTACTGCACCTATGTACTTCTAAGTTCTTCTGCTGTTGTGCAAAAGCACAGGTATCACCCCCCCCCCCCCTCACGTGACCGCGGACTCCTGCACATTCACTCGCACAATAAGCACACAACTGTTTGGAGATAGCGTGCTTCTTGTATAGTATGCCAACTTGACACACTGAGTCCAGCTTGACTCAGCTGAGTCCCTAACTGCTATTTACTGCTCTAACATGAAGCCGTGCCTGGAAGAAGGGAAAGAGCGAAAAGAAAAAGAAAAGAAATCCTGGCCTTCTGCAAGCTATAACAAGTAATGAGCGCCGGCTGTGTAAAGCCACACAACCATAAGGTCGACCGGATGACGGTGAGCTTCCAGCACACATCTTGCCCTGCTGCTCCACCTGCGCACACCTGATTCGGTGGTGGGTTTACGGGCTGCCTGGGCCCCAGAAGCCTCCCTGATGCGCCACAGAGTGCAGTCAAAGCACCTGTATCACTTCGGTGATCCGAATGCGAATGCAGCCTTGCAGGTCGCCCACCAGCCTGCCGCGTACGCGACCAGCCTGAGGCTGACCCTGCCGCATTGAGCGCTGCTAAATGCTGCGATCTGGTAGACAGCACACTGGGCTGCCAAATACGTGACTGGCTTGAGGAAAGTCCCATGCTGCACGGCAGGGCGCCCAGCTCAGGTCGCACGTGGTAGCGGCGTGAGCTGGGCGCGGTGAGGGTTGGTGATAACTACAGTTTCCTCCTCCAGAAACTTCCATTAGAAAACTTCTTTTCTTTACCCTTACCCTGGCAAGTTGGGACCGGCACTGCCGGCAACTACTTTGAAGTAAGAATTACCTACAAATCAGAACATATAATCATACTGTACCGGGCAAGTAAACACTTTTTATATCAATCAATAACTGTGTGTCTTTTTATATCAATCAATAACTGCGTGTGAGCGCTTGCGTGCTATAATGGCTGCTGTCTCACCTCTTTCCCGTAAACTGCATCGTGGTGCACTTCACAAACACACTGCCGAGTCCGGAATTATTGAAGAACGTGCCATCGTGGACCTGAACAGGGATGGCAGTACTGGCCCGGGCTGCTGGCCGTGTTGAACTCTTCTTTGAATTGCAATTCGATGTTGCCACTAGCAGTGCACCGCCAAACTGTGGTGTGGCACTGTTTCTGGCCGTGTTGTCGATGAACGTCACATTGCGCAAGCATATCTGCGGCTGTGATGGAATCGTGGAGAAGTGCACGGAAACAGCACCGCCCTCTTCCCACGCATGGTTGTGTTCAAAGCGACAGTTTTCAACAGATACGAGACTTCCACTGGGCATGGGCATGCTCATGCGTTCACCATTGTCGATTTTCACGTGAAGGGCACCGCCTCTGTGCGCCGAGTTTCCCCAAAATAGAGTGTCTCTGATATGCACACGACTGAATGAAGCGGCTTCTGCAGGCAGCTGACTGCCATGATTGGCAGCAGCAGCAACATCATCATCGTACTGCAACACTTTGACATACAGTGTGCTGCCGAAACGTGCACTGTTCTCTGCGAAAGTGCAGGTGTCCACCATTGCCCTGAAATTCGTCACGCCAGGTCCGTTGGAAACAACTAGCGACAGAACTGAACCGTAGTCGGCCTGCATCGACGGGTCCGTGTCTTCGCTCCCACCGCCGCCAACTTCTCCAATCTGCTGAAACCGATGCGGGTGGATATCGGAGAAGCTGCATTCGAAGAAAAGAAGATGTGGCAAGCAGATAGTGGGACCAGCAGGGGTTCCGCAGGGCCGCCGCTTGGTGTGGTGGTTGAACGTCCCCGACTCCTGCACACCGCAATCGATCGAAAAACGTGCTAGCAACACAAGGTCCCTCCATTCTTGAAACGAGGATAACTCTTCGCTGGAAACGTGTGTTGACTTCTGGTCCTCGCTGTACCTGGCGAACACGACTGATGTCTGAGTATCCGGTGCGATGTGGACAGGTTCCAACTGGCTGGGTCCCTGTCCTTCAAACACCGAAGAGATGAACTGCACGAAGAAGCTATTCCTGATCACGATGTTTTGTTGACTGGCGAACGTACTTCTGAAAGCACACTCAACAAACGCTACCTGCTTACAACCCTCCAACAGTACGAAAGCCAAAGGCCGATTCGCAGTAGAAGCCAAAAGACTTTCTTCTTCGTTCAGCTCAATACGTCTGAACACCACAGCGAAGCTTCTTTCGAGGACAAAGAGGAACCCTTCCTTCTGATCAGTCCGCTCTTTGTCAGTTTCTGACTTGGCTTTGGCTGGAGGCACAAGAATGGCTCTTTCACAACCATCCGCCGAGTTACGACCGTCCAACACAAGTTTCGTCAGTTTGAGAGGTTTGTTCAGCTTCCACGCAGCCACTGCCGAGCTTGCATTGTTGCTTCCCAAGGAGACACGACATCGCGTCCTCTGATTGGCCAATAGGTGTATCACTATGGTGCTTGTACCGACGACCTCTGACTTTGGCGATTCGGAGTCAACCTCAGATGATCGGGCTGCGTTCCGACTTCGAATAATGCTGGCGATGGCCAATGCGTCGGAAATAGAAGGGCAAGCAGTCTGCGGTGAGCCACATGCTCTGACATCTTCTTTGTATTCTTCTGCGGACGATGAGCTCCTCAGAGACGCCGACCAAGGAGCGACAAACAACACAGTATGTTCAGAGTTGCTGCTACTGCTACTACTGCTACTGCTACTGCTACTGCTACTGCTACTGCTACTGCTACTGCTACTGCTACTAGCGCTAACAGTAGCATCGAACAAATGATCGTTGTCAGCGAGCATCACCAAAACGAGCACAGCCCTCGCAAGGCGCCAGCAGTCGCGACAGAACTGCCTAGGCGCACTCCCGGCCATCCTTCCACCACCTTCTCAAGATCTCAACTACAGACTTGCACTACAGTCGTACTCATAAGAGTGAAGACCCACACAACGACACACTTATCGTGTTCTTATTCCCAAACGCTAAGTGAGTTGCGATGTGTACCAGAGCGCTGATTTTAACTGATGTCGGATCTGGGTAGATGTCCAGAAGACGGTAGAAAAGTCTCGGGTGGGAGTATTGTTTGAAAACCGCCCTGGTCAATGCACCCCAGGATTGGTCATCTGCTAGTACCGGTACATGTCAGAATGCATCGGCGGCATAGAAGAAAAACACAATGATGCTGATGTTCTCTGCGGGTATACGGCACCCATATGTCTCTATAGTATAGCCGGTGTCTGCCCCCATTACAGTACGCCATGACATCACATCACATCGTCATGGCTGTGGTCGTGTGGACGTTCCCCGCCGGCGATCATTGCAATGCCATACTTATAGTATACTAGTACTGTACCGTGTTTGTAGTAAGGACTGTACATGTATTGGTATGCTTTGGAAGCACAGTACAATGTATTTTCATTGCTGCACTGTAACCAACCGCTGGTGCTTGAGGCCGCTCTGCACTGGTCCAGGTGTCCGCACATCCGCCGTACTTCCCGACAGCTCACGATCGCGCCAAGTAGCCAACAGTGTTGCAGATGTGTTGAACACATCTGTTGGGAGTTGTCCTTATCCGGCAGCTAATTGGCAGCAAAGGAGTCTGCTCACCATACAAAAACTTAAAAGTCGATACCTACATGTAATTCCTTGATACAAAGAAATAAGAAATTGTAACTATGCTGTCTGAACTCAGCCCCCCCCCCCCCCCACACACCGCTCTTCCCAATCCCGGGCCCACTATCTTGAAAAACAAGTTGAAGTCTTGTGTCCCAGATCACACGAAACCTACCCGGCTAATATCAAGGTTTCTGGTGTCAAGGTGTGTAAAAATTAATCATTTCGGAGAAGTGCAGTGTTTGCCAACGCCGAGAAGGCTGGGTCATGGCTGGGTCATGGCTGGGTCATGGCTGGGTCATGGGTATTCCTGCCTGCGTACATGTACTTCCTTCCGCGAAGCCAAGCTTTCAGCATAGAGCACCAGTACAGACAGTAGCAGTGCTAGTGGTCATGGTGTTACAGGTCGCTGACTGCGACCGCGTCCCCGCCTTCATGGTGATACAGTAACACCGCCATGGACTTCACCGCATACGAGTGTCTGGAAGCCATCTGTCAGCGGCAGAATTCAGCCAACTGTTATAGCTCTTCCTGTCGTACTGTAGCTCGGAAAGTTTCACTCAATCAGAGTAGGAATGAAAACTGCAGGCAAGATGTACATGAAGGTTCCCAGCGGATATCACAGAGCGCGGCATGTGGATCGCAGGTTCTCTGCTGAGCGTCCCAGTCCGGATACAACTGAAATAACATCCAATGATGGTGGACGTGTACTTACTGTAGTACAATAATGTGCATGACACAGTATACTATTGGTTAAAGAGCTTGGATTGAAACCAGGGAGTAGTAAAGTGTTAGTGACTACTGCCTGGTTAGAACTTTATGAGAACAAGGTGTACTGGGGTCTACAGAGTAACTTTCGAGAATGCAGCCAAGACTCACGATCACATCATAGGACGTGTGAGCTCAAGTCTCTGACTGGGGATATTATTATCAATTCCACAGCCTGCCCTGGTAACCAGTCCTGTACATGTAGTGTGATGGCGAGGACTCAGCCCGGCACATGCAGAGTACAGGTCACATTGTCTGTGATCACTAGTGAGAGTTTGGCAGGCCGGTGGAAGTATCATCTTCGTTCCACCCAGGTCAGTGTGACCCCTAACGTTTGGAGGTGGCTGATCGGGTTATTGACCTAGAGCCAGTAGAGGCTAGAGCTACTGGAACTCACGGGGGATGATGAATTTGCTTCCAGCAGCGCACAAAGGGAGCTATTGCAACAACCACTGGCTATAGTGCAGTGTCATTGTACTTGGTGGCTTGGAGTCTTTGTTGGAGACCTAGTCTCTGTGCCATTGCACCCATGGAATATGAAGCCTCAGTCAAAAATCACAGAGCCGTATGTGCATCTTGTGGCGCCAGAAGATGGTTCAACGTCCCCCGAGCATCCTCTTTGGACAGTATTTCTACTCATTTTCTAGTGTACATAATTATGTGCGGATTAGCTACACGTATAATCACGTTCTCATCTACCTGCCGGGGGGGGGGGGGATACCCGAACATGTTACACCTCCTAGATCCTGGATGAACGTTACATTTTTCCCTTCAGGGACTCAACCAATTTTATTCTCAGGGGGTAGGGTTACAATGAAGTAAAATTATTCTTGACTTGTCACTGTTTCATAGTATATGTACACATGTACACGCTGTGCATTCATCAATGCAGCTACATGATTGTACTAGTACATAAGTGAGTATACCCAGGTTTCAACAGTGCTCAACACCACAGGGGCGGAGCGTAACCACAAAGGTCAAAAAGAATGGTTTCACCAATTATAGAAACATACGTTGTAACGCTGCGTTTCATGCACGTAGCTAAATGCTAAGGCAATCATCAGACAACTCATGCTTTTTGTCGCGGGATAGCTTGTTCTTATTGTGGGGGATACGCATGGGCATGTAGAGGAGGTGTGAGCTATCAATGCAGGGCATGCATGGGAAGAGCGAGTGATAATAATTACATCACTGCGTGGGCATGCGCAGTAGGCGCGAACTATGCATGGAGCGTGCAGAGGCGGAGAAACCACCAGGCAGGACAAGGGGGGGGGGGGGGTCCCAGCGGACAAAACCAGAAACTTATACATTGAAGTTGAGCTACTCCTGCATGCCCAACATGTCCTACCTGATGAAGGGACATAACCAAAAGGTACTAACGCCTGGTGAAGAGAGATCTGCGGCAGGGTGCAACTGCCGAGCCAAGCCATCATGCCCTTTGGGCGGCGGATGCTTGGAGGGGAAGTGGTGTACCAGGCCTCCGTCACAACCCCAAGCACCGGCAAGGAAAGGCAATACATCGGCCTGTGCGAGACGCCCTTCAAGGTGCGCTATGGCAACCATCTAACCAGCATGCGGCATGAAAAGTACCGTACCAAGACCGAGCTATTCAAGCACACATGGGCGCTGGCTGACCAAGGTGAGGGATACAGTATCAAATGGGCAGTCATAGATCGGGCCAAGTCCTACAGCAACATATCCAAAAGGTGCTGCTTGTGTTTAGCAGAAAAGTTGCGCATCATCACCTTCAAGACGCCTCACACTCTGCTCAACAAGAGGTCGGAGTTGGTATCAAAGTGCAGACACCAAAACAAGTTCTACCTCTCCACCTACTCTGCCATGACATAGCCACCGCGTGCTACCACTATCACCGCCACATCCTCTGAATACCCGCGGCTGTTGAATGTGGACACCACAGTGTGCTTCCACCGCCACACATCACACCCCCTGCCCAGTGCCCCCATGGCTTACCCTTGTCCTGCCTGGTGGTTTCTCCGCCTCTGCACGCTCCATGCATAGTTCGCGCCTACTGCGCATGCCCATGCAGTGATGTAATTATTATCACTCGCTCTTCCCATGCATGCCCTGCATTGATAGCTCACACCTCCTCTACATGCCCATGCGTATCCCCCACAATAAGAACAAGCTATCCCGCGACAAAAAGCATTAGTTGTCTGATGATTGCCTTAGCATTTAGCTACGGGCATGAAACGCAGCCTTACAACGTATTTGAAGAAGGGCTGAGGCTTCCTGCAGCTTCATCTGCGAAAAGAATTCGGGTGGACACACCCATTCCCATAGCGCTGCATATCACATCCGAACCAGTTCCGTTATTTTTACAACGTTTCGGCACTTGGAACTGGTTCGGATGTGATATGCAGCGCTATGGGAATGGGTGTGTCCACCCGAATTCTTTTCGCAGATGAAGCTGCAGGAAGCCTCAGCCCTTCTTCAAACTTGGTTCTCCTCTTCCCGGAGCGAGGCAGCGTGGCGGTTTGTACAATGGTCTTGGAAGCTGCAGAGGAGCGAGTGTCAACTGTCTTTTCTTTTGCAGTGCCGGCGAGAGGGATTGATCCCCAGATTCATTTCGAATTGTGTGCGGAAGCCAGCATCAACGAGTCACAAGACCATCAGAGAACACAGGAGACATCAGTACTGCCGCCGTCTTCTCTGCGATGCCATCGAAGACAAATGCGCAGAGAAAGATTACCGCGGGAGGCGATACAAGCAGTCCATCGAAGACAAATGCGCAGAGAAAGATTACCGCGGGAGGCGATACAAGCAGTCCAGAGAGCAACTGTGGACGTTTACACAGTCGGACTACCTATTGATCCGTTCTCTTCAACGTGCAGTGGTTACCGAAGAACGAATAAGTTCCAACGCCAGACTAAATCGGAAGATTTCTGGACTTCGAGAGGCGGATCAACGTGTGGCGGGAACCAACAGCTCACCCCGCGGCCCAACTCCTGTTGCCGCCGTTGGTGTTGCGTCACCCAGTGGGCATACGACCAATGCTGAGCCAGTCCATGAGCGGGCGTTGGTGGTGGGCGACTGTGTGTCCGACCAGACAAGGCGTCTGCTGGAACATGGACCTAGCTTTGTCCCGTCGACGGGGAGGCTCACCAAGCAAGAACGAACAGATGTTGAGACATCGGTAGAGAGGATGGCGTTCACCCTCCGGTGGCAACAGCCCCAGCCTCAGGGTGTGGACCTCAAAGAGGAGGACCCACCGCCAGAGATCAGACAGGACAAGAAATTGTGGAAGCTGATGAAGCGTGGCTTTAAGCAGCCCCCACAGATGGACGACAAAGACGAAAGGAACATGGCCAACTTCCGCGACGAGGTGTTACGGGCTTACGACAGACACACACCCTCTAAGCCCAATCTGACGCAGGGGGAGCGGGTGGAGCTGAAGCGACTTCGCACAGACCAAGAAACCATCATCAAACCATCGGATAAAAGTAAAAAACTCGTCGCTATGAGACAGGAGCTG